GCATAGATGTTGTGTGGAGTGTATGGATGTTGTGTGTGGATGTTGTGTGGATGTTGTGTAGAGTGTGTGGATCATGTGTGGAGTGCATAGATGTTGTGTGGAGTGTCTGGATGTTGTGTGTGGATGTTGTGTGGATGTTGTGTGAATCATGTGTGGAGTGCATAGATGTTGTGTGGAGTGTATGGATGTTGTCAAAGAGGAAAGTAAAACATCTAAAGAGACCGTTTGGTGGAAACAACCAAAGACTACTGGAGCTCAGGCAATATACTGGTAGGGCAACACTGTGAGATCCGAAGCAGAGGTCCAGCTGAATTGTACACATCACCAAGCATTTGAACAATTTAAGGCTTGTAGTAAACTTCCTGAGAGACTCAATCAACATGTATTTCACTTCAAGAAATGACAGTGATGTCGTATTTTTGCCATCCTGTATGAGGTTCAGGCAGGAGTTTACAGATGATGTTGCATTGGACCACACCTGTAGGAACTTTAAAAGATCATCCTTACTGTCATTGTGGGCTTTTAAAAGTTGGTTTTCTGTCTGAAATAGGGTATGTAAGTGGGTAGAATTTCATGAAGTATTGTTTCGTTCAAAAATCCACAGAAAAGGTCAGAACTCCTGCAGTCAGAGGGACTGTGATAAGTGATCACACACACTCTAAATTATTCACCAATAAAGGGTTGCCTGGCTGTCATTGGATGATGACTGCATGGTGCAAACCATCCATGGAAAATGTGAGCACAAGATTGGAAGGAGGCTGGTGAAGTAAACGTTTGCTGAAAACAAGTCCAATTATGAATCATTGACATGCGACTGTAACTTGGATTTAAGATTGTTAGATTACAAGCACTGATGAGGAATTCCTTCTTTTTTCCAAAGGGTTACATCGGTTGTGAAGCTAGGGTACCAAAGAAAAAGAAGGGTTTATTTGGTTTCAGGGGGAGAAAGCTCAAGCCCCACCCACCACCTGAGCCTGAAGTTCCCCCAGTAGGTAAGCCTAGTGAGATTTACTCAAAGTCAACATTGCTTGCATTTCATGTGTCATCTGTCCATGGTCCCTTGTAGTAATAACATAAGATGGGGTGTTCTGCATGTTGCTTGAGAGACACAACTGACTTGATAAACACAAAATCCTTACCTTAGTCTATTTTAAGTTGGACGGCACATTCAGTAACACATAACCTTTCTGTTTACCTGACGATGAACTTTTGCACTGGGGTATTAATCTCTCTCCAACCAATTTTTGATGTCAGTAATGACTTAATTAAGGTATATTGACCCAGGATAATGGAAAATGCACCCAAAATGATAACATGTTGTAATTGGCTGTGACTTGAAACACTTCCTCAGTGGAAAATCAATGAGATAGTCTGGCGCCAGCAATTCAACATGGCACACCTTGCACAAGCAGACTAGAGACCGTGCCTTTCACAGATAGCGTCGCATGAACCTGTACACACATTTTATGTTTTACCACCACAAAGATGTCGTTCTTCCAACAAACCACATGTACCATAAAGTTACATGTAGGATAGACCGCACATGTAGAAGGAAGAGTGAGTAAACCAGCCAAAAATTTGTCATTCAGAAGTTCGTACTTGTGCACATCTTATTACCCCAAGATGAAGTCCCTCGGATTGAAATCCAAACCTCGACCATCGCAGACGACTTTGGCAAGGCGTTGGAGCAGTCAGCTTTCTCTGACGTCGTCTTCATCGTTGAAGAGAAGAGCATCTTGGCTCACAAAGTGGTGCTGTGTAGTGCCTCCAACTTCTTCTGTCGTGTGTTTGGCCTGGACCCACCAGACCAGGTTGGCTACAGTTTATCTTTTTGAGGTCCATTGCACCTTTGTCGTTCCTGTTATTCCCTTCAGTCTCATTAATAACAAAACCTGTGCCAACACGAAATTAATGAAAATTCAGTTCAGTTACTCATGTATCTGAAAATACATATTTTATTTTATTGTCTTTCTGGGAAAAACCACCCCGGGTTTATCATTTTTCTGATTTCAACACATGGTTTGTTTTTAGGATACATCCAGCCATTCCTCAGTCTTGAACTTCACCTGGGATGATATCAATGAGGATAGGATTGCTGGCTTAGCTGGTATTCTTGATGAAGTGACCCCTGATGGAAGTCTCCTTAAGAAAGCAAAGACCCAGGTGACGATCAGTGCAGATATCTCTTACAAGACCTTTCGTCAAGTTTTGGAGTTCCTGTACACAGGTAATAGAAGTACTCCTAATTCAACCATCCCATAATTGTTGAAGAAATCAGTGGCCAATGGTAATACAGTTCAGAAATGCTCTTCCATTTCTGTGAAGTAGAATGTATGTGGAAGCTCTGAAAACAGAAGAAACTCTCTACTTAAATTCTGCCTTTTGAACTGTTCCTGACATTATAGGCCTTCCCAGCATCACAGATGAGACCAGCACAGAGGACCTGGTGGCTTTACAGAAAGCATCCAATACATTCTACTTGCCTCTGCTGGACAGCATCGTCAAGAACCTACAGAATGATGGAAAGTTCCTGAATCCTAGCATTGGAACCTACCTGAATGACCAGACAGGACAGAGGGCCAAGTGGTTGTTCCTGAACAAACAGACACTGTCTGATATCCGATTCAAAGTTGAAGGTAAGCCGTGTCTTGTATCTCTTCCTGCCGGTTCCCTTGGATATCCCTGGCTATTAGTAAAGAACAGTGCTCCATGGAGCTGGAATTTGATGCATTTGGGTGGTGTGGGTTGTGCAAGGTTTCCTCCTCAGGAATAGACAGCGTACAAATCAAGTTCTTTTTGAATGGAGAGTAGCAGCAAACTATTTCCATTTTTTCATTCGGGTTTCAATCTACTGTGTGCCCCATCAGTCCCATAACGACATTGAAATGAAAATTTCCTTTTTTCTCCTTCCTTTCGCAAAGACACAACAGTCTATGCTCACAAGGTGATGCTGACATCTCGCTGTTCGTTTATGAGTGGAATGTTTAGCGGAGGCTTCACAGAAAGCAGCCAAGATGAGGTAATTTGGGCCTGGACCACTTCACAGATGTGTGCAGACTGTACCGGAAGAAAGGCAATTGTCATGCTACATAACGTCAGCTCTCTGGGTCTATGAAACATTTTTTAAAGCAGAAAACCATCGCAGAGTACACATGAGGTATACAACCCTAGCAATCATTTCACTGGAAATGGCTTAATCGTGCACTGTGATCGTCTGTTCACTAAGAAGTTTATGTATGTCTTTATTCCTAGGAGGATATATTACTCAAACAGTTGGGACAAAGTGCCTTCATCTCTGGCACTGTGGAATTAGCCTGGCAATTTTGAGTCGTGTTATCTAGACCATGAAGCTGAGATGTATCAATGATACCATGTTGATGATGGACATTAATGGCCATAATAATCTGCTCTGCCTCGTTTATCCAAATAACAAAGAGGAGAATTTTTGTCTTGTGGTATTTTAGATTAAAATTGAACATGTGAGTCTGGAGTGTTTCTTGGCCCTCCTGGAGTACCTGTACACTGACCACGCCCCTATAGAGGAGGGTGATGCTGTGGGGATCCTTGTAGCTGCTGATCGGTATGGTCAAGATCGACTGAGAAATCTCTGTGAGCTGTACATCACCAAGGGGGTAGATGTGACAGACAAACATGTGGATGTCATTGGACTGTTGCATACAGCCCAGGTTTGTAAGCTTGTTTTGTTAGCATTGTGTTTGAATTCTCAGATTTGAATGAAGCATTGTGCACATTGAGTTCCAAATGTTGCTTCCTAGTCTAAGTCTTCTCTCATCAGAGTCAAGCCTAGTTCTTAATGTTCACAGTGCTCAGACTGTAAGTGTCAATTTAATCAAATGTTATTCACAGGTGCCATGAGGGGAAAAGACCCAAGAAACTTTTCCATCAGATGTACACACTAGGAAAAAAGAAACGCACCATGTAAAGGTTATTATATTTTTAGGAAATGGGACTGGCATTGTTCTAGTGGAGGGATTTGGATGACTGCCAAAAACTTTGTTTGGCATTTCATTCTGATTGTTATACGTTAGTGACTCCAAGATATGTGTTTGACCTTTCACATTCTGAACACAACCCTCGCCTATAAAAAGACACCAAAATGACACCAAAAACACTTGTATCCATAATGCCACCACTGTCAAAACCTGAAAGAGACCGAACCATTGGCACACTCCAAGCTGGAAGGAACCGACAGGCAGTGGCCAGGCTGTTTGGGGTCCACCACTCAACGATTGTGCACCTTGAACAGCGCTACAACATTACTGGCACCTGTGCAGATCATTCCTGAACTGACAGGCCGCAGGTCACGACCGCTGCACAAGACCAACCGGCTGTCCCACCTCCGTGACAGGCTCTGGCACACTACATGCACTGCCGCTGAGACCATAGGTACACACCACAGTCGAGTGCACGGACCATTAGGAATCGTCTCTGTGCTGACGGGATCAGACCACATCGACTGTGTGTTGGCTCAGTGTTGGCATGCCGACATGGCCAGGCTCGGGTCCAGTGGCTCACAGCACACGGACGCTGGACATTGCAGAGATGGTCGCAGGTGATCTTTAGTGACAAGAAGAGGTGGGGGTTGTGCTGTGTTCCAGCTGGACAATGCCGGTCCCCGTGCGGCTCGTGTGTGCGCCAACTTCCTGGAGGAGAACAATATCGAGGTGTTGCTATGGCCAGCTCTCAGTCTGGCTTTGAACCCCATCGAGAATGTGTGGGACTTGGCTCAGTTGTCACATCTGACAACGAGATCACCCCCAGAGACACAACAGCAACCGAGGGCGACACGACATGGAGGGAGAGTGGGCTGCTATCCCACAGGACCAGCTGCGACGTGATTGTCGATTCATGAAGTGATGAATTACAGCTGTTTTTGACGTGAATGGGCGTCATGTTAATTATTGAACTGTAAATGCCACTTTTGTGAGCAGTGGTGCTCACTTGTTTTTTTTCAGTTAAAAATGAAAAAGATTAGATTTATAGAAAAATGAAAGATTAAATTACTGGGCTAAAACGTGAAAGGCTAAAACTAAAAAAAGAAGGTCAGTGGTGTGTTTCTTTTTTCCTCGAGTGTATTTTTGGATTTATCTCACTGTCTTTATGGTTTACCCTCCATTACTAATATCATGTACATGATTTGAGTAGGGGAACCAAATCAACACATTTTTTGTCTGTCCAAAATAGCACCGTTGTCGAAAGTTTTGCAGAAGTATACTTTGTACTTTGTTGAAGACGCAGTGGTTTTTGTATGTCTAACAACTTTTTTGGCACTGCTATGGTTACCTGTACGTTTCTGATTGTTTGGCAGATATACAATGCCAGCCAGCTTGCCCAGTGGTGCCTTGATCTCATTTCACGTAACTTTGTGACCTTCTAGCAGCGGGCGGAGTTTAAGAAGCTGGAGGGGGAGAACCTGAAATATGTCACTGAGAACCGCTGGCCTCCTGTGAGCTACCTGGAGGAGCTGGAGAAATACAAGGCTCAATGGGGGAAGAAAGGGGACAGAGTATGAAAAGGGAAAGTGGAATAGTTTGAGTGATATGCAGTCAGTGAGAAGGTGTCAATAAAACCTTCCTCAATGAAGAGGTTTGCCTCAGTTGCTTTAAAGCTGGCTTAAGAATTGTAGATATATATATTCCTTATACTTTTAGGCGCATGTTATTCTATAATTTGAAAAGTAATATTTAGTAATTTTTTGAAAAGTTAATTTTTTGTTAATTTTTGGAAAACTACATAGTTGTTTTATCACTAGAAGTGCAATGACCTTTAGTTCTTTTATTTGTACGGCTATGGTGTATTTTTGGAGGACATTATTTTTATGTGCATTTACTACTTTGTATATAAAATCCACCCCTCCAAGGAATTAGCTGGAGTTGTCTCCGAAGTGTTGGTGATTTTAATTTCTGTAAAACAAGTTCTGTGTAGACACTATAAACATTTAACAAAAGAACGACGGTGCCCTGACAATGAGCATCCGGCCATTGTTGCTGCACTGTGCTTCTTTTGTTAGTGTTTTTGTTGTTTGTTAGTGTCCGTAGTGAGAGGGCAGGCAAAATGTCCCTCCTCCCCGTTCTGGATACCGGGTCAGTTGATATCTGATGCATATTGACCAATTGGAAAGTTTAGGGGGCGTTAATTTGCTCCTGTATATTGGGAAGTTTGAAAACGCTCAATAATGAACTGAGCCTTGATGTAAATGACTTGGGGAAAGAACCCAAAGTCTCCCTTGTCAAGTGTCCAAGTGATGTATTTATTGTTTCCATACTTTTTGTGCAATTATACTGTTTTATACATGATTACTATCTAAGCCCGTTTTGGGTTTGAGTCTGATAAAAAGTGCCTTTTATAAGTACCAAGGCTGGTTGTCGTCTTCTGGACAAAATCAGGGCACTGTGTAATTTGTAGTGTTTTTTATTCAATGTGTCATTGTCTTTGACATTGATCATCAGTCCTGGAACACATCACGGACATCGTCATGAAATATTTTGAGAGGTTTGATATAGGCCTACACGTACTTACGGATCAGCAAGGTCACTTTCGCAAAGGAAAGTGATGTAAAACAGCTTTCTGCACACTTACGGACGACCCGGAGCAGGTTGTAGAGGACGGAACCCGCAGGCATATCTTATAAAATGGTAGTCCGAGTAACTTGGACCCTATAAACCACCTTTTTTAAACATTTGGACATGGTCTAGGGATAGTAGCCAAACCGTACAATGTTATAAAAAGGCGATTTTTAGGGTCCTAGTTACCCGGACTGAAAATGGACCTCGGCAAGGTCTTTCAAAATCTCGTCGACCGTTAATTTTTCAAGTTGATGCACGATAAGGCCAGTAATTTTGTTACGTAGGCCATGGAGGTAGGAAAAGAATTGATGGTTCTTCACACGCTCGGCAAAGGACTTTGTTTAGGTTTCTGTGCTTTCAGAAGCGGTAGGGCATTTGTTCTAGGAACTTTTCGGCCGAACCATTAAATTTTATGTTTTAATAAAGCGCCCTGACCGTGGATCTGTGCTGGCGCCCTCTGTCTGCCGCCAACCTTCCTTGCCGGCTGGTCGTGGTCACTGAGGTCCGTGCATGATCGCTGAGCGAAATCCACAAGAAAGATCGTAACTGGCCAAATTTTTTCGTGTCTGACGTATGTAAATAGGCCTAAATGCATTATTGTGTGCATTTAATGTTGCATCACAACGATCAGTTACTGAAGTTACTGTCGACCCTCGGAAACTGTGCATGATGATGATGTACGCAGGGTGCGCCGCGCCCTCTACAATTATAATTACAAACACGCACAGAACAGAAGAACGAAAATTATTCAAGGTGGGCGGGGCAGACGACCGGCCGTATAAGGGTGTGTAGGGGTACGTTAGCGCCACTAGTGTGGCACGGATCACTCCTGATAAGGATGGATTGGGAGTGAGAGTCCGTGCCACACTAGTGGGGCTAGGGGTACGTGTCACGAGGCATTCCACTGTTGGACGTCCTGTTTTTGTTTTGTGTGTGTGTTTTTCCTCATGTATCAGTACAACACTCTGGGAAAACCTGACTTGAATAAAAGGCTATACGGTAGGCCAAGGCTTTATGCTAATTGTGTGGCTCTGTCGACTGTTTTTTTCCCAAGCAAAGGAACATTAAGCCCAAGGGGAAGGGGTTGTCAGGTAGGCCTACTCCAAATAACTTGGACTATAATGTTACAAATTACCATTTAGACACGGTTGGACCATACACGTACATGAAGTTACCGGTGGTAGAGTCCAAATTCCTTTCCCAGGCATTGTTAGCCTAGACCATTTTGAATTGGGCGTGAAATTTGCTGGCGGACCGTCAGACAAAACGAGTGCACTGTATCCCCCTACCGTTCATGTTCATTCTCTGTTCTTTTTACATGTTGCTTACTGTGATTTTGCCGACAAATTTGGGGGGTCACACCCACCCACCCCTAGCTTGTGACACCTGTGGTACTGTCCGTGTATACTTTTGCTTCCATTAATTCATTTCACTCAAAATAGCTTGTGCGTTGAGTGAAATGAATAATGGAAGCAATTTTATGCGGGAGGTACTTGGACTCTGCTGTCTCCTGATCATATCTAAATGTTAAAAAAGGCGATTTGTCAGTCCAAGTTACTTGGACGAGGGAAGGGGGAAGCTTTCATAAAACCAGAGGTTTAGTCTCCTCTCAAGCCTGACAATAAATTCATTTTTCCTCAGGGAAGTGCACGGTACATAGATCCTCAGAAAGTTATAAAATAAACACTCATTGGGCGTGAATGGCACCCATCTGGGACCTCCATGTGTAACTGGCCTAAAGATAAATAGAGGGCCTGCTTGGAGCGCCCTCCCAGAGGACATGATTTGTTATGGACAAAGGTTTACTCGAGCCTGTCCTTAGAGGAAGAAAGATATGCCCTCTTGCGTGACCCCATACGAAGGCCCTGTATTGCTTATAGCCATTTCTACCATGTATTTTTTCCCCTCCATGTGTCTACGTGTTTGATATAGTGGCTTGTCCACCTTCCTCCATGGCCAGACCTAGTATCAATACCGTCAGCAAGTGCGTCATTGACATTGTCCGACTGTGACCACCGTGAGTGTGAACTTCAAGAACAAGGGTCATCTGCTGAGTGCCGCGATGCCCTTTAAACGAGGTGGGTGTAAATCATGAATTGCACTATCCTCCCGTGAGTCGCGAGCGAGGTGTTCTGATCTTGAACCATACGTAACCAATGCATGGCTTTATTGTGCACCTGCTCTGTATATGTGTATCTACCTACCTGCTGGGCTACAGATTTCTGCATAATTAATACAATATGTACTTGCCCTCGCAGCACGTGCAGTGCTGACAGTGGCCATCATTGACCCTTTGATCTCTGTACGTGTATGTGTTTACTCCTTGTGTATAATAGCTCCAAGGTCAGAAAGAGTTCCGAACACAGACATCACTTAGCACCTGTGCATAAAGACTACTGTGAAAAATTCTAAGTGTTTTCTAAGTAAAATACGTCAGTACTTTCACTGTTAAATTTGACTTTCAGGGCGTGTTCTTACTTTCTTGTGGCTTACAAACCACCGCAAGAGGAAATGAGTGATGCCTGTATATGAAACGCTTACTTTATCTCTGTTTGATCCAACAGAGGACAGAATGGAACTGAAAATCATGCTGGAAGGAGATGAAGGAGTGGGCAAAACCTGCCTCTCTATCTCTTATCACCAAGGCTTCTTTCCCCGTGGTTACATCACCATAAATTTTGGCTACTGTTCATTTGAAGCTTTACTTGCGGGGAAGACTTTCAAGCATATGATTGCGGACGTATCTTCAGGGGTACAGTACAGTACATACGTGTACATGTGGAATGTCAGGCTATTCATGGTGAAGTACAGCAACAGGTGGAAAGCCTTGCGGTAGCACTATGCGAAGGAATATATCTCTCTTATGAGTGTGTGTGGTCAGGAGTCTCCTGACGACGGCCTGAGCACGCAGTCCGAAACGTTGAGTGTACTCCCGGTCCTTTTCAGAACCACACATACTCATAAGAGAGATATTTTCCTACGCTTGGTGCTACCGCAAGCCTCTCCACCTGATACATGTACATTCTTTTATTTTTTTGGAGAACGGACTGGTAACCATCACTTGTTTAATATCTTAGCCACTTAACGCCGAATGATATCTCAACACTCTGGGACTACCTGTGAAAAACGGGGAGGATGTTTAAAGATGTTCTGGCAAAGTAGTGCTATGCGGAGTCTATTCTCTTAAGTTTGTACAGTCAAAGTATATACAAAGTATATTCTAAATAGTATATTCTATATTCAAAGTATTTTCTAAATGCAGAACGTCCTATTTACACTGTGTACAGGGAGAAGATATGGATCGTCTGCGCCATTTTAACTATCCAGAAACCGACCTCTTTCTGATGTGTTTTTCAGTGGAGCGCCGGTCTTCCTTTGAACACATTGAATCAAGATGGCTGCCAGAGATCCGTCACCACATGCCCACAACTCCCATCCTTCTTGTGGCCACAAAGATAGGCAAGTACCCTGATACTTAAGGGACCATTTGAGTTATGTTTGGCACACTAAAATGTATACACAAATATAGGCCAAATGTAGAACCATCACTTGATCTGTGCATAACAGGTTGATTTGCCCTTCATATCGGAGCAAGAGTTGTCTTGAACAGTTCAAAGAATCTGTGTACATACATTACAAGGTTCCTTGTAATATTCTTTGTAAAATTCATAAACGTTAAAAAACTTGCCCATACCATTTAAACGTCAAGCCAAGAATTTCTCCTCACGACACAAGGAGAAGTAATGCAGCTGGTTGTCAAAGATAACATTTTTTCATCACTTTATACCCTTATTTTCATCAATGTATATGTTTTTTACCATCAGGATGAAAGAATGGTCAGGAGTTTGGGCAGGCTCCGTAACATTATGAGGGAGTCCTCCAGGAACAATTTGCTACTTGCGCAGATTCTGAAGTAACAGTTTTACTTGAATTCCACTGTTTTAAAGACTACTTGAATTAGTCAGCCTTTTTTTTTGCAGACCTTCGTGGGAGTTCTCAGCATAGTTGTGTCACATTTGACGAGGGCTTGAAATTGGCAAAGAAACACAATTGGCCATACATAGAGACGAGTGCACTCCTTCACCGTAATGAGAGAAATCAGTTATCCATGTCATGTTCTGTAAGTAGAATCCTGTGGATAAACCCAGGGATAGGAAAAGAATTTCAGCCAAATATAAACATGGTGAAGAAAAAGTGAAATTGAAAATATACGTAATTGCAAGACAGATATTCTCAGTGGTGTGTGGGTGCTGTTGGCTACCTCAAAAGTTTCTCTTTTTCTGTGTTCAGCCAGACGCCTTCATTTGGTCCTATCCTCTGAACCATGAGGAAGTGGATGTTTTCCACCTGTATTTCTCTGTTCATAGCAGAACTTCCCTGATGAATGTTGAAACGAGATGGGTTCCAGAGATCCGCCATGCCATGCCTGGGGTTCCAATCCTCCTGGTCGCAAAAAACATAGGCAAGTGTATCAGGAAATGCCTTGAGATTTGTGCTTGGGAGATTTACTTCACAGTTAGATATCCATTTGGAATGAGCACCCTGTAACAACCAAATTTTTTCAAAGGGCACCAATAGATGTTTTACCGGATTTTCAATCTCGGACCATTACTCAACTTGTGACCCTAGTTTACCATTTTTCAAACTTCAGGATTAAATGTAGATACACACCCACCCACACACAGATGAAATAAGGACATTCCTGTCCTCTCATGTACTTGAGAACACTCTGCAAAAGTGCGCAGTTTATTTTTCAACTGTCAACACTATTTTAAGCTGGATTTTTGTTGAGGCTTTCCTTGACTGTTACTCTTTCTCTGGTTACAGGTAACTCTAACCCCTGTATCTGCTTTCAGAGAGGGAGCCATTTTGTGTGGACCTGGCTTAGTCCATGGAAGGTTTACAGAGCCTGAATTATGTGGACCTGCGGTGTTCTCATGTCCACACAAACATTGCACATATACATGTAGGTTGGCACATTCATGCAAGCTTACCCACAGCATGTTTCTCAATGTACATTTTTTTTTTGCCACACTTTGGCAGATCCTCCTTGGAGTTCCAATCGCACCCGTGTGGTTACATATGAGGAGGGCTTGAAGATGGCTCAGAAACTCAACGTGGAATACACTGAGATGACAGGGCAGCTGAACTTAAATGCGGAAGAATGCTTCGAGAAAGCAGTGAGTGAATTCTTGGTAACAGTATTTGTTGCACGAGACAAGTTGAATTTCTGTATGGTGCAAAATGTCAATAGGCTGTCAGTGAATATAGGGTTGCCGGCTATGATATCATGTTATCTGTAGCTGTTGTATGAGAGATGTCCTTTACAAAACAATGCAAAAAACCATGAGGTGGCGGCTATATATGTAATGCAGGAAAAAAAGGTTTTACAATGGAGAATTATTTCTTTTGTGGGTTGTGATGGTGCTTGGACAGCTTACAGTTGGCAAGCAGGGTACTCAAGAATTCTTGAGTGAGGCAGAGTGTGGAGGAATGCTTTACAGAATATGATTCGGGGACAGTGCTTGTGTGCGGATGTTGCTAAAGAGTGCAGTGTCTAAAGAGACTGTTTGGTGGAAACAACCAAAGATTACTGGAGCTCTGCCAATATAGGACAACGCTATGAGATATGATGCAGAGATCCAGCTGAATTGTACACGTGACCCAGCATATTAACAATTTCAGGCTTGTACATGTAGTAAAATTCCTGAGAGGCTCAATCAAGATGCGTTTGACTTCAAGATATGACGGTGATATTGTATTTTTGCCACCCTGTATGAGGTTCAGGCAGAAGTTTACAGATGATGTTGCATTGGACCACACCTGTAGGAACTTTAAAAGATCATCCTTACTGTCATTGTGGGCTTTTAAAAGTTGGTTTTCTGTCTGAAGTAGTTGGTAGGATTTCATGAAGTATTGTTTCGTTCAAAAATCCACAGAAAAGGTTAGAACTCCAGTAGTTAGAGGGACTGTGATAAGTGATCACACACACTCCAAATTATTCACCAATAAAGGGTTGCCTGGCTGTCATTGGATGATGACTGCTTGGTGCAAACCATCCATGGAAAATGTGAGCACAAGATTGAAAGGAGGCTGGGGAAGTAAACGTTTGATGAAAACAAGTTCAATTATGAATCATTGATGCGCGACTGTAATTTGGAATTAAGATTGTTAGATTGCAACACTGATGAGGAATTCCTTTTTTTCCCAAAGGCTTACATCGGTGAAGAAGTAAGGACACAAAACATGCCAAAGAAGAAGAAAGGTTTCTTTGGTTTCAGAGAGAGAAAGCCCAAGCCCCGCCCACCTGAAGTACCCCCAGTAGGTAAGCCTTTCCAGTAGTAAGACTTACTGAAGCCAAGTCAACCTTGGTTGCATGTCACATATGGTTTATTCGTGGTTCGTCGCAGTAGTTGCATAATATTTGGTTTTCTGCATGACTTGCACAAAATCCTTACCTCATCAATCTATTCCAAGTTGGACAGCACATTCAGTATTAACACATTGCCTAATTTTCATTTAACGGGCATGGCAATAAACTACCTATTTCAAGCTCTTCTATCGCACTTGGGTCTTACTCCGTCTTCAACCAATTTTCTATGTCAGTAAAAAAACAGAAAAGGTTACTTTGTTAAGGCAAACTAGTCCAGGATAACAGAAAGTGCACCCTCATCTCCTCGTGTAAATGGCGATATCTTGTAATATGAAGCACTTCCTCACTTGCCTTTATGAAAAAAGCCAACCTGATGGGAACAATTCAATACACCTTGCGCATGCGGAAACAGTGCAAGTTAATAGCGTTTTACCATCAAGAATACCACTGTTCCACCAAACTGCCACAGTCTGGGATGGACTTTAATAGACTCTGGTTTCAGTCGAGGAAGCCAGCTGCAGTATGAACAGCCAATACATGCATTAGGTAAAGTAAGGAAACTGACCAAAATCTCTACGGTTTAGATTCATCAAATTCCTGTGTGTGCGTGTGATATTGCCTCAAGATGAAGCCCCTCGGATTGAAATCCAAACCTCAACCATCGCAGACGACTTTGGCAAGGCATTGGAACAGTCTGCTTTCTCTGACGTCGTCTTCATCGTTGAAGGGAAGAGCATCTTGGCTCACAAAGTGGTGCTATGTAGTGCCTCCAACTTCTTCTGTTGTGTGTTTGGCCTGGACCCACCAGACCAGGTTGGCTACATTTTATCTTTTTGAGGTCCATTGGACCTTTGTCATTCCTGTTATTCCCTTCAGTCTCATTAATAACAAAACCTGCGCATATACGTTGGATAAGGGCAAACCCGTTATATATAAAAAACCTGCGCAAGCACTAAATTGCTAAAAATTCAGTCCAGTAATTTACCTGAAAATGTCTATTTAATGCTACCGGTATCATTGCAAGTGTTGAAGTGACTTGTCTTTTAACTTTGAGAAAAAGTCTGCCTGTGTTTACCATTTCTCTGATTTCATCTCGGTTTATTTTAGGATACAGCCAGCCATCCTTCCTTCTTGAACTTCACCCAGAAGGATATCAACCAGGGCAAGATTACCGGTTTAGCTGGTATCCTTGATGAAGTGACCCCAGAGGGCAGTCTGCTTGAGACAGCAAAGACCCAGGTGACAATCAGTGTAGACATCTCTTACAAGACTTTCCGCTATGTCTTGGAGTTTCTGTACACAGGTAAAGACAAGACTCCATCTTTCATCCCCAACAGTTTCTGCTGTGAACGTTGCATGATTTACTGTCTCAAAAGTGTGAATTGTTTGTGAGAACACTGTTCACTGTTACCTTAGCATTGAAGTTGTGACACCACCACAAATGTATGTTTGTCTCTTCTGTAAGTCGTACACGTAGAGTGAACTTCAGTGCTTTTTATTAGATTTTGTAGGTCTTTGTTAAACGCCGACAAAACTACACAAGCTTTCAGAAGAAAATGCACAGGAATAGCAAAACTCACAATGCAGATGAGATGTTCTGGTACTTCTGCCTTTCTGCATCCTTTCTGACATTATAGGCCTTCCCAGCATCACAGATGGGACCAGCACAGAGGACCTCATGGCTTTACAGAAAGCATCCAATACATTCTCCTTGCCTATGCTGGACAGCATCGTCAAGAACCTACAGAATGATGGAAAGTTCCTGAATCCTAGCATTGGAACCTACCTGAATGACCAGACAGGACAGAGGGCCAAGTGGTTGTTCCTGAACAGACAGACATTGTCTGATATCCGATTCAAAGTTGAAGGTACGCGTACATGTCGGCACATTTTTTCTACTTTCCTCCCATCTTTCCACTTCCCCTTCACCAATTAACCATTCCACAAAAAAAACAGTTATAAACACACTGTGATTCTCTGTGTCCTAGCATAAGACATTTAAGTTCCAGTGAAGATCTGTATGTAGTGCCACTTAACGTTTGTAGCTGTCTCAGACTTGAGTGATTCCCACTGAGTTTGTACGCACACAGGGTCAAACTAGTCTATGACCTTTGGACAAATGACCTCTGAGTGTCAGCGTCCACTAAGTCCAACTTTGTATAGGACTGTAGTCGTGGTATAGTGGCATTTAAAACATGAGAGTATTGTAGACCAATAATAATGCAAGTCTGTTGTAGAATAATACAGTCTGCCTGTGATCAAGCTTTTGTCAAACCAAATTTCTGACCAAAGCGCATTGTTTCGAAATGACCACCTCCGTGAATCTTGCATTGATATTTAAGGTCATGTCTCACACCTTCAGATCCTACACCTATTCAAGGATATCCTCGGCTGTGCGATGAAAACATTTTATGGTAGAGGACAATTGGTTTGGGTTGAGCAATATTTTTTCCTCTGACTTAAAATAGGAATAATTCTGGAAAATGGGAGACTAGCAAAATTAATGGTCCCCTTTTCGCAGCAGAGTCTTACGTTTCACTTACAACAATTTGCGTGTGACTTGACGTAGGGTACGAAAGGAGGGTTCAATGTATCTGTACATGCATTACAAGGAGTAACACTCTTTATTGAATTTCATGTATGTTTATTGCTACCCAAAGACATTGACTTTCTTTCTGTGTTTCATAGACACAACGGTCCATGCTCACAAGGTGATACTGACATCTCGCTGTGGGTTTATGAATGGAATGTTCAGCGGAGACTTCACTGAAAGCAGCCAAGATGAGGTAATTTGGGTTTGGATCCCCTCACAGGCAACAAAACCTCAGATGCAGGGAGGAGTTTAATTTGTGGCTTGGTAGGGAGTGGCTTAGGAATTATGAAGATGCCTCAGAAATAGAAGTTTGAAACAACTGTACTTCAACAAGTAAACGGTATGCAATGAATGTCTCTGCAGTAAAATTGTGTGCTTCTTTATTCTTTGGAGGATATAATACTCCAATAGTTGTGACAAAGCACCTTCACCTCCAGGCACAACCTGTGGAATTAGCCTGGCAATTTTGAGTCGTGTTATCTAGACCACGAAGCTGAGATGTATCGATGATGCCATGTTGATGATGGACATTAATGGCCATAATAATCTGCTCTGCCAAGTTTATCCAAATAAAGAAGAGACGAATTTTTGTCTTGTGGTGTTTTAGATTAGAATTGAAGACGTGAGTCTGGAGTGTTTCTTGGCCCTCCTGGAGTACCTGTACACTGACCACGCCCCTATAGAGGAGGGTGATGCCGTAGGGATCCTTGTAGCTGCTGATTGGTATGGCCCAGATCGACTGAGAAATCTCTGTGAGCTGTACATCTCCAAGGGGGTAGATGTGACAGACAAACATGTGGATGTCATTGGACTGTTGCATACAGCCCAGGTTTGTAAGCTTGTCTTGACAGCATCATGTTTGAATTCTCAGATGTGAATGAGTTGCAGCGCACTCCAAGTTTTAAATGTTGATTCCAAGTTCAAGTCTGCAGTCATGAAGGTCAAGTCTGGTTTTGAATCTTGAGTGCCCAAACTCTGCAGTATAAATTAAGTCCGCAAATGTTGACACAAGTGCCACAAGATTAAAACTGGAGAGAGTTCCTTTAACTTTTCCAACAGATGTATTTTGGGATTTATCTCACCGGTTTGATGGTTCTACTCTCTATTACTGTAATTATGAACATTTCACTCAGATTCGAGGAGGTCAACGAAATATATTTTAGATTTTCTGTTATTGATCAGTGGAATTTTGGAATCTAACACCTAACAAATGATAGGTTTTTGTCACTGACACAGAATTATACACCACGCTGTCTTATTGAGTAGTGTGCAGAAATGTACCTGGATTTGTTAAAGATGGAGTTGTTTTGCTCGTCAGACAACTTGTCGTTTACATCGACACTGTATGTGGTTGTTTGTTTGACAGATATACAATGCCAGTCAGCTTGCCCAGTGGTGCCTTGATCTCATTTCCCGTAACTTTGTGGCCTTCCAGCAGCGGGCGGAGTTTAAGAAGCTGAAGGGGGAGAACCTGAAATATGTCACTGAGAACCGCTGGCCTCCTGTGAGCTACCTGGAGGAGCTGGAGAAATACAAGGCTGAATGGGGGAAGAAAGGGGACAGAGTATGAAAAGGGAAAGTGGAATAGTTTGAGTGATGCATAGTCTTTAAGAAGGTGCAAATAAATCTTCCTGCATGTTGTGTATGGAAAAAATTCAGCCTACACCGCTAGTTTGTCGAACCAGATAAGTTAATAATTATAGAGTTATATATTTTCAATACTTTTGTGAGTGTGTGTTGTTATATAGTTTAAACAAACACTTGTCCTATTGTGGAAGTTTAATATTTGTTACATCTTGAAAACTATATAGTAGAAACGATCAATTTGTTTTAATACAAGAAGTGCAATGACTTTGTGTCTTTATATGCATGGTGCCGTGCTGGTGCAGGAAGCAAGGGTAATGCATATTATATAATGTTATGGTACATGTAGAGGACAGATGTTGATGTAAATGTGAAAGTACAAATATAAAATCATCCCGTCCCCCAAAATGATGTTATACTGTGTCCCAGGTGTCAGTGCTTTCAATTCCTCTAAAATTAAAAAAAAATAGCCCTGTGGAGAGGGCCGCCAAGCTTCCCTGTGCCCCCCCATGGCCAGTTCTGGATACCCCATTAGTCTGTTGCTATCTTATGCGTATTTACTTATATTTACAAATATTTACTTTTTGGAAATTTGAGAGGGGGCCCTGCCACTATAGCCTGGGCAGTTCATACAGTTAACCAGCTGAGGGAATATTTATGTCTTTAAAGGATCCATAGTATGAATTTTTCTTGGAATCACTTTTGTGTATCTCTGTATACTTCTTAAATGTATGAGGACTGTTTGACCTTTTTTTTTTGAGATACATAAACTCAAAAGTGCACTTTTCCAAACTGATTATCTGGACAAGTGAGGGAGCTTTTCCTTTGATGTAAATCAAGGAAAGCACGGTTCAGTTTGCACAGTTCATGTTCAAATTGTGAACTCTAAACTTAATATGAAAATGTTGTTTGCTTGCTTATTGCCATATACTTACACAGCAATAAATTGCCAAAGGCAAATCTACGACAGCAGTGTTTAAAACAAATCTAGAAATGTTCGGTGCCTTGGATGACATAGTTTGCTCATGAATATGCAAACCATTAGCATAAAAACCTAAAAAGCTCCAAAATAGGGGCTAAAATTGCAAAATAAACATTTTAAATCAGGTAAATTGAAACCTGGAGGTGCAATTTCAAGGGTCTTAGTAATGGTCTTTAGTAAAATATTTCTATTTCATGGTCCCTTTAATAAATGATTTGTGAATTAACCCAAAGTTTCCTTTGTTAAAGTGTCCAGGTGATTAACTTGTTCTTTATTAACACGTTTTTTGGTGCAACGTCAATACCCTTCGGACTATAACCTGAAACCTAATTGCCTTTTTGGGGGGGTTAAATGTGTTGATATGCTTGCTTTTCAACAACGGGGTTCTTGGATAGGAAGATAATGCAAAACAGCTTTATGTGCATTTCTGGACAAGCTGCTGAAGATCTCCGGAGTAAAGCATATATGGATCATATCAAAGCTTTTACTCATCAACCATCAACATACCTAGCAAATTTAAAGCTCCACCACATCTAAATCTGAAATAACGTCCTTTCTGGAATATATTTCCTAACCAAATGTTAATAGAGGGTGGTGGCTGATGGGAAATCGTCAGGAAAGTCGACTATATTTTCTGGTGGCCGCAGGGTCCCCCCCCCCAACGTACAAACTTGCATATCTGCCCAACACGAAACTTGTCCCCGGGTACACACAAAAAACGGCCGAAACGGCCAGAAATATTTTTATGGTAGACCATGGGTTAGACTCCCGATGATCCAATTTTTTACACACCCGGCAAAGGACTTGGTAACAAAATTGTCATTGAGGCAGGAGCGTTAAGCCGTGTATTCATGGAACTTGAGTCAGAGCTGCGTGGAAAGATGAGCTAAAATTTGTACTGCACGTTTGTAATACCCATAGCTCGGTAATTCAAGCCCTACAAAGGCCACATGGAGCAGTGCTCATGCTATGGGCGAAGCAATACTGGAAAATGGAGGATGACTTGCCCTGCCTTGACAATTTGAAAAGCCAGGATGAGAGTGATGACACCATATCACTCTATAATTTATATGGTCGATGTTCATGATATTGAAGTACATCTATTTTATGCATTCAGGGTGGCATTTTTATGGCTTTTTAAAATTGTTTTCTCTTTTTTGAGTATCAATGAATGCATTTTTTTATTCACCACAAAAAGTGGGGGATATACCCGTATCTCCCGGGATTTACGCCCATGGGGAAAGTACATGTAGAAGAACATGTTTGCTCTCTCGTGAAACATGGACACGTCGATTTTAAAACTGATAAAGTAATCTGCCAGATACCCGGGCCATTTCCAGGTTCTGTTTCTTTTTCATCAAATATCGCGCTCAGACACGACCATCACAGTTGAGCTGCTAAAAAGCAACAGGTATCAGATTGAACAATCATCTTTTCCCACCTCCATGGTTCAATGCGGAAACAACTGGCATCATTGGCTGAGCTCTAGTTCAACTCCGGGACACGCGGACCTACCGACTCCCGACGATCCCTTTGACGGGTAGTCCCCCTCCCCATAGTATATTTGCCTGGCTACGCCCACTGCTGATATTCTATGGTCAAAATTACAGGGCGCAGGGCGCACAGCGCGCCATCACCCGGCCGTACCGTACCTGCCGCATGCACGTCAGTTGTCAGGGGCATTTTAGAGATCAGTGGCTGGAGGGTGCGAGTGGCGAGCAACGGTAGATGGTATGATCATGGAGCTATAAAACAGCATATCAGCGAACTAGTGGAAATCCATGGCCTACTCCTAGAAGTTAGAACTGTGAGGTTCTGGGAGTATCCATGGCCCACTGAGTGATCATGCAGATATAGCTGCATGGTTGGCCCACTTCCAACCGTACTCGGTACTACCACGGTCCGTAGACGGATGCTTATTTATACGGGCTGTTAATCATTTTATTGTTAATTTTAATTGCTGAAATTTGATTTTGAAACGATGGTCAGATTTATCACCAACCATGGAGGTACATATACGGACACATCAGCAGTGCACCAGTAGTGCTGAGGTTGTGAACTTGAACGATCACTGTGGTTGTAAATTATCCAAGTGCCACAATGCCCAATAAAAAAGGTAGGCCGGCCTATGTTTTGAAAGTCTGCTGTACATGTGCTTTCATCATGTGAACATGGAGGAACCATTGATGTGTTTAGAGTCATTGAAGGTTGTTGGGAGGGAGGATAGCTGTGGCTTGGCAGTTGATGGGGGCTTGGTCCCTAGGGACCCCTCCTTCAAATTCAGCGGGACTGGAAGTAAAAGTACCCTGGCCTTACTCTGACCTCTCTCTGCAGTTTTTAATAATTATTGGGCCTAGAAGACACCTACGGAGCAATTTAAATGCCATTACAAAAGGAGAGATTTTTTAAAATACTGATATATAGATTGGACTATCCAGTTGAGACCAGCTGTGACTTCATTATAGGTCAGTTACATAAATGCCTCCTAGGCAAACCCAAAGTTCAAATTTGTACTGGTATTCTTCCTGAGTAATAGTCCATTGTTAGCTAGATGTATCGTATCCCTTTTCATAAAGAGCAGTCATGTCATCTTTCCCGGGACCAACCTATAAACCTTGTGTGTGTGTGTGTGTAGTTTGAAAGTCATCCTTTTTTTCTGACCTTTCTGACCAATTGATGTCAAGGTTCATTTCTAGTGTATGTAAATGACACTGCTCTCAGCTGATCTATGTGTTGATTCCTACAGCAGAGGACTTTGTGAAAATTGTACTGCTCGGAGATAGCCAAGCGGGCAAATCCAGCCTATGTCTCTCTTACGACCATGGCTACTTTCCCCGATGGTACATCCCAAGGAATTTTGATATGTGGTTATTCGAAATTGTGATCGCTGGCGAGACTTTCACCCATGGGCTCTACGACACATCTAGAGAGGTACAGTAAAGTGTATGTCCTCGTGTTTTGGGGAGAATTTGTGAAAACTTGTAAATATCACTAGGTGTTTTGTACTTGCTTTACACTGGATGGTACCAACACTAGAGTAATTCCCAGCAGGTTGTACGGATACATATGCAGAGGCTGTGGCACAAATCTTGAACTAATGACCACCAAGGCTCAGCATTTGTAGTTTTTAAGATAATTGCTTAGTCCAACTCTGTATAGAACTGACCGCAGTCATGCTATCTTGTTTGTTTAAGGGTTGATATTTTTGGCCAAATAACTGCACCCGGACAACTGCGACATCATGTGTTGTGTTGGCACTTGGGCAGTGAAAAGAGTGAAATATTGCTCCAAAAAGTCCTCCATACTGCTCTTAAAAGAATAGAAGTTAAATCACTCCTTGTGGTAGTTTGCACAGTTTTCCTCAATGCATAAAAGGACTTAAATGGTTGGAAAAATCACTCTTAAATGGAGCGAGTTTCACTCTGTTGCTTTCAGAAAGTTGATGTTGAATTTAAATACCAATGCACATGTAACTTTCAGAATGAAGAATTACTTTTTGTGTCAGTGGATATTACCACAATTAGCAATCAAGTAACTTAGATTGAATCACTTCAATTAATCTTCAGGTATGTCAGGTGCATGCTGCAATGTCAATCTGTCTGGCATTTTGAAAGGCAATGAGTAGTAGGTTTACTGTCAGTCAGTGTCTCAAAAATCTCTCAGTGGGACTGCTTTTTTCCTCCATTTGTTTGCTCTTAATTTTTCCTAACATCTTGGATTGAAAGAGATACTGATAAGGTGAATTGAAAGAGTTCTGTGGTAGAGAGTCCAGTTGAATATGCAATCGTTCAAAATTCAAGATGTTCTCAAGGTTTTTAATCGTATACTCTTTGTTTGCAGGGAGACGATTACTTTCACCTGCGGCCTCGGAGCTATCCACACACTGATGTCTTTCTGATGTGTTTCTCAGTGGAGTGCCGGTCTTCCTTTGAACGCATTGAGTCAAGATGGCTGCCAGAGATCCGCCACCACATGCCCACAACTCCCATCATTCTTGTGGCCACAAAGATAGGTTAGTCCACTGTACTCATAGGGAACAGTTCTGATTTGATTGTGTTGGGCTGATGCACATGCAAAAATGGTGATGAGTCAAGTCAGCTCTGCTGTGCATGCCCGTAACCCTCTTATCACTTGTGTTATTGTAAGGCAAACCCCACACAGGCTGATCTGTGAATGTGGGTATCACCCAATTCTGTTGGTGTTTTTCCCATGGAGTATTGAGCTCAAGCAAAACCCAAATTAGTTGAGCGTTTGTACATGTATGTGTGTGCGATGGGGGATTTGGCTCATCAGGTCTGGAGCAAGAAAACTTGTCTACCTGTTTAGGGCATTTCTCATAGTATAGGCCAGATATGATTCGGTTGCTTGATCGGCGCAGCGCACATTAACCCTCCTTGCTGGTCCTAAGTTACCTTCCCCATTCACATATGGGACTTTGTGCACAGAGGCTGTTGGACTTGTTTCTCTTAGGTATGCCAGACCCAATGCAAAAGCCAGCTGTTGTGGGCCTACCAGACCTATCCCCACAGAATTAAACACTTTACTACTGTTTAATTCTGTGTGGTTGGGGAAGGTTAAGGGTCCTTGATTTTATCCTTCACACTGGGGCAAGAGTTTTTGACCAGGAGTTTTTAAATTTATAATAGTCAGTGCTGTTCTACAGGCATGGTCAGGTTTGTGTCAGAGATGCCACTTTTTCCAGTTTTATCTGGATTTCCGTTTCTTTTTAAACAGACCCTAAAATTCTGTTTTTCCTTTTTTTACCTTCTGGCTCAAAAGAAAACACAAACGGGAATGTGTTGATTTTCGCCTCTATGAATTCTAGTTGAATGACAGACGCGCATGGCATGCATGTGTACAGCTCTTGCCTTGTAGTAGCTTCAAAAACAAGGCTGTCTTCGTCTGCATGATCATTGAAACTACCAGAAATCTAGCACCGTCATGCATACCAAGTACTGCACAGCGCAGTGAACTGTCTGAATACGCAAGTCATGTGGGTGCATGAGTCAATTTATGCTTGCTGGGCTGCGCTGCGCACCTTCTCAGGGCATTTAGTGTGCTGAGCACATTTATCACACAACCTTGAATTTAAGTCTATCATGTTAGTCAGTAGTTCCCAATTATAATCACAGCAGTTGTATGAATAGGAATGTTGTACATAACAAGTCAGGAACCAACTACGCGTACATCATGGTTGTGCATGTGTGTTTTCACAGGCCACGCTGGGCTGTTGATCGATGTCTACAACCGTGCTGCAACATAACTGTTTGGAATTACAAGTTTCATGATATACATGTGCTTCATGCAACAGATTATGTCATCATATGCAAAAATGTAGAATTTTAGACAGAACAGATAACTTAAAAGCCATCAAATCAAACGTGAAAAGTACCGGAAGTGGAACTAGACATGGTTGTAATGGAAGAGAACCCCTGTCATCATGCACTCCGCTCACAACACTCAGTCATGCACTTCGATATTATTTGCCAGGATTAAACAGTTTTGTTCTTTAAGGGCAAACTCTGTGGCATCCATAGGAGTGTTTGAAGATCTTTATCAAGTGAGAGAGACTTTATTTTTTTCTGCAGATCTTCGTGGGAATTCCCAGCATAATTGTATCACATTTGACGAAGGCTTGAAATTGGCTCAGAAACATAACTTGACATACACTGAGACGAGTGCAGTCCTTCACATTATTGAGAACACGTACGAGTTCCCCTTGTGTGGTGTAAGTAGAATTACCTGGGAATAATTGTCAATTATGATTGGCCGCTTCGGTTGCTTATACATGTAACTATTCCATCATTTACTTATTTGTGGTGCTTGGGATTAAGGGTGCTGGATAGGGTCTGGTACTCTGCCTGAGGCCATCAGGACTGCCAGGACCAAGACAGCTGGGATCAGAACCGGGGTCCAATTTCACATACACGTAGCTGCTTAACAGTAAGCAGGACAATTGTGCTAACTTAAGCTGAAAAATTTGCTAACCTTAAGCACTATTTCATGGCGATGCTTAGCATAGTTGTGCTAATGGTTGCGCACGCATAAAGATTTCTATTGTTACGTCACTCCCTTTAAGCAAATTTTCTCTCCAAGGTTACGTGCTTTGGCTGTACTTGCTGCTTACGGTCTCCATGAAATATGAGGAACCTCTGTTAGCATCAACTGTGTGCTAAGCAGCACTGTGAAAATGGACTCAGGCTGACTGGGATCTTGATCATGGCACCACAAAAGACAAGGTTGTGTGTCTCTGACCGGTACCGCAGTGGTATCTTGTACACTCAGGCATACACTGAACGTACTGGGTACACTTATTAGGCAATCCACAGCACCATATTGATTTAAGCCTGTAGTGAGCTCATACTCTTTCCTGGCAGGCTTGTGCCATTTCAGTAATGCTGCTAGTGCTGCTTGCTAGATTACACTTTGTAAGGGTTGATCATGCACCAATTACCAATTGGCTACTACCCCAGGGTTTAGTGTTTTCCCAAGGCAGAAATATTGTCAGTATCATCAATGCGCTATACCCACAGTGTACATGTATGTATAGTTTACTGTCGAAAGTCTTTCTTTTTCTGCATTCAGGCAGCTCCCTGCAGTTGGTCCTTCTTTCTGAGCTATGAGGAAGTGGATGTTTTCCACCTGTACTTCTCTGTTCAGAGCAGGACGTCCCTGGCGAATGTTGAAACAAGATGGGTTCCAGAGATCCGCCATGCCATGCCTGACATTCCAATCCTCCTGGTGGCAACAAACATAGGCAAGCTGCATTAAAATATGTAGTTGTAAGACTTACTTCAAAATTGCTTATCCACTGAGAACGATTTGCAGCACTTCCTCTAGCAGGCTGTTTCTCTTCCTGTTGATGCAGGTAGAGTAACCTGTCCCCTAAATACTCCTAAATCTGTTTTTCAGTCAGAGAGGGGAACCTCTTTGTGAGGACCTGACTTAGTCCACGGAAGGTTCACACAACCTGCATTATGTGGACCTGCTTTGTTCTGAGATCCACACAAACCTTGCACATTCAGGTTGACACATACTGTACCTGCAAGCTTACCCACAAGAAGGCTGTCAATGTACATTTTCTTTGCCGTACTTTGGCAGATCCTCCTTGGAGTCCACATCGCAAGCGTGTGGTTACATACGAGGAGGGCTTGAAGATGGCTCAGAAACTCAACTTGGAATACACTGAGATGACAGGGCAGCTGAAGGTGAATGTGAAAGAATGCCTCCAGAAAGCAGTGAGTAAATCAGGTGGAGCTTTAGAGAGGATTTGCTAATGCAGACCTGCCAACATGCCGTACTCCTTGCTGAGGTCAGGAATTACCACACAATAGATTAAAATTTTAAATGAAGTGAAGGCCCATTTAAATACCTTTTAATCTATTGTGTGGTAATGCCTGACCTCAGGTTGTAGTACTGCTAGGTTGGCAGGTCTGCTAATGGACTCCACTTGTAGGGACTTTCAATGGACAATTCCTATAATTATTGTAGGTTTTGAAAAGTTAGTTTAGTTTTCTGTCTGAAAAAGGAAAATTTAGAAAAATAACATTTAGTAGTCAAAGAAACTGTGATAAGTGTTGATACATACTCGAAAGGTATTCATCAATAAAGGGTTACCTGGGTGTAATTATATGATGACTGCATGGTACAAATCATTAATGCACAATGTTAGGACAAGATTGGAAGGAGGTTACAGAAGTAAATGTTTGATGTAAACAAGTCCAATTATGAATCGTTGATACACTACTGTAAGATGGAAAGCTTGCGGTAAGCACCATGCAATATCACTTTTTGAGTCTGTGTGGTTCTGATAAGAACCGGAGAGGCTCAACGTTTCGGACAGTGTGCTCTGTCCGTCGTCAGGAGACTGAAGAGATGCCGACAGGGAGTGGGGCTTACATGCTTACCGCAAGTTTTCCATCTTAGTCGTCTGTCACCATGAATAGCTTGAAATCCCACACTACTGTAACTTGGAATTAAAAATTGTTAGATTACCAGCATTGATAAAGAATTCCATCTGTTTCCAAAGGTTTACATTGGTTATGAAGCAAAACAAGCAAAGAGGAGGAAGAAAGGTTTCTTTGGTTTCAGGGGAAGAAAGCCCAAGCCCCGCCCACCACCAGAACCTGAAGTACCCCCAGTAGGTAAGCCTGGCCAATAGTAAGACTGAAAAAGTCAATATTGCTTGCATTTCATTTGTAGTTTATCAATGGTCCTTTGCATTATTAACATAATATTTGGTCATCTGCACATTGCTTGAGATTACTGACAATATAAAAAATCTTCCCGGGTTTCTACAGATTTGACATCATATTCAGTAACCTATTAGCCAACTTTTTATAAATTACTGATTTCAAGATCATCTATTGTGCATGGGTCTAAAACTTTCTTTAACCAATTTATTTCCAGTTTATAAAAAATTCATTTATCTATAAATGCAAATTGGCCGAGGATGACGGAAAATGCACCCTCAGGTATCCTTTCTCCTTTGGAAAAATCTTGCAATAAGCTGTGACTTGGAGCACCTCCTCATTGGCCAAAAAAGAGACATTCTGGTCAAAACAATTCAACCAAGCGCACCTTGCAGATTTGGAGACCATGCGTTTCAACAGATACCGGTTTCATCTTGGATCTGTGCACACACGTTCAGTGTTGTACATGTCTCACCAAAAGGGTGCCACTGTTCCACCAAACTACCACAGAGTCTTGGAGTGACTTTGATAGACTCTTGTTTCAGTCAAATGGGCTAGCCATTAAAACTTTCTGCAGAAGGAAAAGTGAGTAAATTGGCAAAACATTTGTGTAACTTGCTCCCTCTCGAGAGAATTTGTCCTCTCATTCAGTGGCGAATATAAAACAGGATGATTGAAAAGCACCTTGATATTTGTTGAGATGACCATTTCTCTCTTTGTTTCTTCGTACAAGGCGGCTGTTCAGATGAATTACGTTTTCTGTTTGTCCTTGTGTATTTGCCTCAAGATGAAGCCCCTCGGATTGAAATCCAAACCTCAACCATCGCAGACGACTTTGGCAAGGCGTTGGAGCAGGCAGCTTTCTCCGATGTCATCTTCATCATTGAAGGGAAGAGCATCTTGGCTCACAAAGTGGTGCTGTGTAGTGCCTCCAACTTCTTCTGTTGTGTGTTTGGCCTGGACCCACCAGACCAGGTTGGCTACATTTTATCTTTTTGAGGTCCATTGGACCTTTGTCGTTCCTGTTATTCCCTTCAGTCTCATTAACAACAAAACCTGTGCCAACACGAAATTGCTGAAATTTCAGTTCAATTTACTCTTGTATCCGGAAATCTGTTCATGTCATTATTGCAGGTCATGAGTTTGAATTGCCCTGTTTTATTTTTTCTGGAAAAAACCTCCCTGCGTTATCATTTTTCTGATTTCAACATGATTTACTTTAGGATACAGCCAGCCATCCCTCAGTCATGAACTTTACCTGGGAGGATATCAACCAGGGCAAGATCACTGGTTTAGCTGGTATCCGTGATGAAGTGACCCCAGATGGCAGTCTGCTTGAGAAAGCAAAGACCCGGGTGATGATCAGTGCAGACATCTCTTACCAAACTTTCCAACATGTCTTGAAGTTTCTGTACACAGGTAATAGAAGTACTCCTAATTCAACCATCCCATAATTGTTGAAGAAATCAGTGGCCAATGGTAATACAGTTCAGAAATGCTCTTCCATTTCTGTGAAGTAGAATGTAGAATAGTATGTAGAATGTATGTGGAAGCTCTCAATACCCCTAACAGTCCCGGGCGTTGTTTGGTTTAGAGTACTCAGTACTACAAAATACTACGTAACACTCTGAGCCTGAAGGACCTAGCGCTACAAATTACTATTTCTGGCTAGATTTATTCCATTGTTACTTGTAAAGAGAACAATGAAACCATGCATTCGTAGTGCCACAGCACTGTATAGTACATTGTCTTCTCTATTGTATTTTATGGCTTCAGAGAATAATAACGTCATGTCCTCTTACAAGCGACAGGGCTGAGTACTACATTCTACTACTAAGTAGTACTTTGTCGCATTCCGGACTGTTAGGGTTAGAGAAGAAACACTCCTCTCCTGAAATTCTGCCATCTTAACCGTTCCTGACATTATAGGCCTTCCCAGCATCACAGATGGGACCAGCACAGAGGACCTGGTGGCTTTACAGAAAGCATCCAATACATTCTCCTTGCCTATGCTGGACAGCATCGTCAAGAACCTACAGAATGATGGAAAGTTCCTGAATCCTAGCATTGGAACCTACCTGAATGATCAGACAGGACAGAGGGCCAAGTGGTTGTTCCTGAACAAACAGACACTGTCTGATATCCAATTCAAAGTTGAAGGCAAGCCGTGTCTTGTATCTCTTCCTGCCGGTCCCCTCGGATATCCCTGGCTTTTAGTAAAGAACAGTGCTCCATGGAGCTGGAATTTGATGCATTTGGGTGGTGTGGGTTGTGCAAGGTTTCCTCCTCAGGAATAGGAATAGACAGCGTACAAATCAAGTTCTTTTTGAATGGAGAGTAGCAGCAAATTTTCATTTGATAATCCCTTTTTTTCTCTTTCTTTCTCTTGCCAAAGACACAACAGTGTGTTCTTACAGGATGTTCAAGGTTATTGGTAATGATTGGTTTCCAATGGGGCTTGATTTGGGATGTATTTTGGTGATGTGGATGGGGCAAGGTTTTTCTTCAGAAATAGGAATAGACAGCATTAAACACTGAATTCTCTCTGATTTGAGAATAGCAATAATAACATTCTCATTGTTTCAGTTTGGTTCCACTCTGCCATATGCCCCATCAGTCCCATTATGTAGCATAATCAGAAAATCACCTGTTTTCTCTTTCTTTTGCAAAGACACAACAGTCTATGCTCACAAGGTGATGCTGACATCTCGGTGTGGGTTTATGAATGGAATGTTCAGCGGAGACTTCACTGAAAGCAGCCAAGAGGAGGTAATTTGAGTCTGCATCTCTTCACGGAGCAACACTGACAGCCATGGGGAAACAAAAACTGACGTGCACAGACTGTACTAGAAGAAAGGCATCTTTGATGCTACATCATCATTACTTCAGCTCTGTGGGTCCATAAATCAGAAACCATCTCAGAGTACCAATGAAGTATATAGCCCTTTGCTACCGTTTCACTGGAATGGCTAAATCTTGCACAGTGACCGTCTCTTCAGTAAGAAGTTTATGTGTCTCTTTGTTCCTGGGAGGATATACGGTGGAACGCCGCCATAGCGAACACGCCGGGGTCCACGCTAAATGTTTGGTACAGCGGTCGTTCGGTACAGCAAAATTTACTGACGAACGTTTTGTTAAATAGCGCCCTCTCTTGTCCAAAGGAAGTGCACCCTCTTGTAGTACTATGGTTCACTGTTTTCATGATGTTTTGGCATTGCGTTCATGTTTAAGGTTTCTAAAAATGTATCTGTTAATTATTTTGTGTCATGAAGCTACCGCTTAGGATCAATCTCTGATGTGGCTTGTGTATCAGCAGCGCCCTCTATAGACTTATGTTAGTGCAATGCCACGGTGCACGTGCAGTTTTCTTCGGCACCCAGTCACGCTGAGTCACAAACCAGTGTCCATTCAATACCTTTGGCAGATTAACCTTGTGTGCCCTAGCTGTCACTAGAAGATGACTTTGAACAAGTGCTGACCAATGTACCCAGTTTCTCAGCTAGTTAATTACAATTAACTCTTCAACAACTAGTGGCTTTCCCTTCTAATCCTTTGGGAAAATAATGGCCACTTGTCACTTTCCAACATAAAAATCACTGACTCTTTTGTCAAGTTGACATTCGGGAATTACAAACAGCAACTGCAATAGTTGGCAGCCAAGGACAATGTTCGGTACAACCGAATGTTTGGTATAGTGGTGTTCGGTATAGCGACGTTCCACTGTAATACCCAAACAGTTGTTGGCAGAGCGTCTTCATCTAAGGGCAGAACCTGTGGAATTAGCCTGGCAATTTTGAGTCGTGTTATCTAGACCATGAAGCTGAGATGTATCAATGATACCATGTTGATGATGGACATTAATGGCCATGATAATCTGCTCTGCCAATTTTATCCAAATAAAGAAGAGGAGAATTTTTGTCTTGTGGTGTTTTAGATTAGAATTGAAGACGTGAGTCTGGAGTGTTTCTTGGCCCTCCTGGAGTACCTGTACACTGACCACGCCCCTATAGAGGAGGGTGATGCTGTGGGGATCCTTGTAGCTGCTGATCGGTATGGCCAAGATCGACTGAGAAATCTCTGTGAGATGTACATCACCAAGGGGGTAGATGTGACAGACAAACATGTGGATGTCATTGGACTGTTGCATACAGCCCAGGTTTGTAAGCTTGTTTTGTCAGCATCGTGTTTGAATTCTCAGATATGAATGAATCATTGTGCACATTGAGTGCCAACTGTTGATGCTAAGTCTTTAGTCGTGAATGTCACGTCGTGAATGTAGTTCTTTATGTTCAGTGCCCAAACTGTTAAGTATTCACTAAATCAAATGTTATTTATCCAGGTGCCATGAGGGTAAAAATCCAAGAAAGTTCCTTTAACGTTTCCAGCAAATGTATTTTTGGATTAATCTCACTGTCTTTGTCGTTCTACTCTCCATTAGATTTGAGTGGGGTAACTAAGTGTACTCTTAAGTTGTTAAATTTTTCCGAAGCATTGCAACATCATTCTATTTTAAGCAGTGCTAATGAAACTTAAGAACAGGGTTTCATTATCAATCGGTGGAAGTTTGGAATCTAAACCACTGTGATTCATGAATTATAGCTGTTTGTCCTTTTTTTCTTATCAGGAAAGTGTTATTTAATTACATTCATGGGCGAACACATTTTTTCTCAGTCTAAAATAGCAAAAAGTTGTGCAGAAGTGTACTTGTGGAAGACGCAGTGGTTTTGCATGTCTAACAACTTTTTTGCACTGCTATGGTTACGTGTATGTTTCTGATTGTTTGGCAGATATACAATGCCAGCCAGCTTGCCCAGTGGTGCCTTGATCTCATTTCCCGTAACTTTGTGGCCTTCCGGAAGCGGGCGGAGTTTAAGAAGCTGGAGGGGGAGAACCTGAAATATGTCACTGAGAACCGCTGGCCTCCTGTGAGCTACCTGGATGAGCTGGAGAAATACAAGGCTCAATGCGGGGAGAAAGTTAATAGAGTGTAGTACGTGACTTCGCACGCACCCTGTTCGATTGGAAAGAAGCTGTGGCGTGCTGATTGTGCAATCATGAATCAGTGCATATTTTGTGTACAAAAACAGTCTTGCCCAAACTTTACATTTGCATGATAGTCAATTTTATTGAGCAAAGTCTTTTCATAATTAGGGGGCACTTTTTGTATACTTTAGTTTTGTCATTGAGTACATATCTGTAAAAGTTGTGTTGCAAGAGATAACTTAAGTAGCTGGGTCAGGCCAGTGTATGTTGTATCGATGATATGTGGTACGAATAATTTCATAAAAAGGCCGAGTGAATGGATTAGAACAATCAACGTTTTATTAGTGAAGTTATTTGTTTTATATGTATGTATGTGTGTGTGGGAATATGCCTCAGAAACTACAGTGGCTCAGAAATTCTCTCCTTTTCAACAGAATTTGAGGTTAATCATGTCTTCTTATCTGCTCAGATCTGTTTTATGTGCACTTGTCATGTTTGTGATGATGGTTTTGTTGGGCCACTTATCAGAACAACTGAAAATGTTTACCACCATTTCAGACAACACTGCAGTGCACAGCACTATACAGTTTATATGTACATTAAATTGAAGAATTTTGAATATGACTAAAAGGGACTCTTGACGTTAATAAGAGGAATGCCCTGTTTTAGTTGCCTATCAACATGGGTGTAAATCCTGGGGGAGGGGATATATTCCCCCACACTTTTTGAGGGGGGGGTAATGGAATCATCTCTCCACTCTTGGGGTGAGCACAAAATTACAGTGGATTGTGAAGAATTTTTTGGACTTTTCAACAACTAAAATGTTTTCGTTATCACTCAAAAAAGGGAAAACAATTTGAGAAAGCAATGAATACAGCATTCTGGTGTAAGATTTGGCATGAATGTAATGGAGTCAATCCCCGTACCTCCCCCCCTTTCAAATTTCTGGGCAAGTCATCCCCCCCGTCTTTACCCATCCCCTATCCCCCAATTTCCAGCACAAAGTTTCGCCACTGCCCATCGCTGACCCCATGATCTATTGGGCCAGTTTGTAAAATATGTGCATGCATTGTGTTGTGCAAATGCACACTGGGTCTTCCAGAAATACACTGGACGGCAAAAGAAACTTGCCACTTCTGTCAAAGGCCACACATAAAAATTCACTCCATAGAAATAAACAATTTTTGTACACAGGTATGCTGCAATACCCCTTACTAATAACATGCCCAAAAGCAAGTGATTATCTTTATAACAAAGATGAAATTGACATACACAGCAACTTGGTTACTGAATCAAAAGTCACACACAAAAGCACCCACGAACAAGCAAAAATGACCCATCAATGGACAACATTTTAAACAACCAATGACAAAGTGAACACCTGTTTTGTCAAAATGATGTGCACGAGTGGCTTCTGTAAAGGGATGCCATCCTTACTGACTATGCATACACATTATTGAAAAGTAATGATTGTGACTTCTTCATTTCGTCCTGTGACATTGATTTCTGCGTAAAAAAATTTAAGGCTCATTCTGTTAAATTCTGTGACTTTTGATTCAGTAACCAAGTTGTTGTGCATGTCATGCTTTTGGGCATGTGATTAGGAAGGGATATTGCAGCAACCTGTGTACAAAAATTGTTTATTTCTATGGAGTGAATTTTTATGTGTGGCCTTTGACAGAAGTAGCAAGTTTCTTTTGCTATCCAGTGTATATTATGATCGAGCCACCGGGAGATTAGTATAAACAGACAGACTGTAACAATCATGACAATGGAATGATTTTATATTATTTAATGTTACTGAATTTACCGTTAATGACAGGAGTGTGAGAATTCCGCTTTTCCGCTGATAGACCTCATTTTTGTAGATGCGTCATTAAAATCTAATAGTTTGATATATATCTATTTAAAAGATTGCAGTTGAATTTTATTATATTATTATTAAAAAATCGAGCCTTTAGTCGTGCTACTGATGATACTGCAGTGTGAATGGTCCACAAAGAGACGTACGGTTGGTGGTTGCAGAGCCTCGACAGTAGCAGAGCGACTGTGCCCCCCCCACGCCTCCCACCCCCGTGGTGTAAGTGGGGGATAACTCAGAGAAAGACCATTTGATTGTAAAAGGGTAAGTACTGACCCCTGTGGGGCGCCATGTCTGTCCCCCTCTCATGTAATAACTCCCCCCCCCGCACAATTCCAACCGGGAACGAAATTCGGCATGGACTAATGCAAGTCTATTTCCAGGGTCGCGTGCGAGACCCTGATATTTCGGATCTTTCATCATGCGTGAACACAAATTCCAACATCGTTCCCATGGGTGCGATCTTTTCGTTCCCAGCGTGTTGGTTCCCCTTTATTGAAGGAATACGCACACAGACCATGGATCGAGGTTGCGCAAGGTGGGACTTTTTGACCCGGGACTTTGTTTAATGTCTAGAAAGGATCTGAATTGAGGGCAGTGTGATGCGTATTTCTGCTTCCTATACGGCCGGATCCAGAGTTCTCTCATTCACGCTGTCGTGGTTCTCACTTCTCGTAAACAACTGAACTCCTTAACATTACTTCAAAATGACCCCCTATCACACGAGCATGCTGGTGTGTTCAGGAGTTGTGATGATGATAATTGGTAGTGCAGGCCTCGGCATTGAAATTCCCAAGAAATATTATGGTGAGTAGGCGTAGCTTAGGCCTACATCATGCATGTATTATTAATGAAGTTGTTTAAAGGTTAAGTTACACTTGTAATTCACCGTTTCTTTTCCACATTGGTATGGTAGATTGTACTGGTTGATTGATTGGTAATTGTCTGATTGTCAACGTCAAGACGTTGCGTTGCAACGTTGGTGAATGCAGCAGGGCAGTTTCACCATGTTCATGGGAAAGGTTGCAAAAAGTCTCACAAGGGGTCAAAAATGAAACTTGTTATATCAATAAACAGTGTTTGGCTAGCCTAGTAATAGTATTGTAAGTGTATGAAATCCTAACCATGCTGAACCTAATGCAGGATTTCAATGGTCCCTAGGTGACAGGAAAATGTTAATTTCAACAAGGCTGAAACCTTTCCCTGTTTTAATTTCATGACACTTTGCATTTGGCATTTCATAAACTTTGTCAGAACTGAAGGTGTATATCATAAACTGCTATTTCCACATTCCAAACATGTTTGGGGTTGCTTTAAGTTGGTTGACAGCCACCACAATAGTCATGCCTTCAACACTCATGTAAGTTATGCTGTAAAAAACAATGCATATTTTCTGATATTTTGGGAAAATGAAGTTTTTTACTCTCGTTTTTCTTAAAACACCACTTGTCATTTCTGCTAATTCAGACAATCATGCATCCTGCTCAGTATATTCTCCTTTGTCCAAGGGCTACATGTACATACATGTATATGGGAGAACAGCTGTCAAAGAATTGTTTTCCAAGGTTACTGCATTCAAGAATTATGGTGGCCATGCCATGAAAACGGTTCATTTTGTTCAGGAAAGGACAAAATTTAACCTAATGCTACCTTCCATCAAGTTTGATCTTATAAAGCAACATTTTGGGAAATTTAATCATAAAGCTAATTAGATGGACAGACAGGACCAGTATAATCACTTGAACATGTTTTGCTATGAAAATGCAAAATAAAACTGGTAAACATGTGCGATATGGGCATTTCCGTGTAAACAGGGAAAATGGACTCAATTTTTTTTTCACTGACTTTTTTGACTATTGACTAAAGCTATGGAAAAAAGTCCTTAACTAGTCTTTGCTGGCTTTTTAACTTCAAAATTCACCTTTTAAACGTTATGTGTATAATTATTTAGTTTTGACATATCAAAAGAGCTATTACACATTCCTCCTAAACAACCCTATTTTAATTTGTATGCTGAGTTAAAATTTGGCTATAATTTCATGAGAGCATTTTCTCATTACATTTTATGACAAACATTCCCTTTCTATTTTAGCTTTTCAGGACAGACCCGTTGAATCAAAGTGGTGGTGATGATGTACGCGAGTCACATAATACACAAAAAGTTAACTGTATACCAAAACCCCAGGGGTATTGAGTTTGTCAATTATAAACCTCCTCCTTGAGTGTGCAACAAACCAAATTACAACAACAATAACCCTAGGTTTTCTGCCTAGGATAATAAATCTGGCACTGAAAGGTAACGCGAGTCACATGTAACGCGAGTCACAGCACTTAGCGTTAGGGTAACGCGAGTCACAATTTAAACTGCAGTAGTTGCAGTGCTTGTAATCTTTTCATCAGTGCCAATTGTTTTCTAAAGTTTACTGGCATCTTAAATAGAGGGCAGCAGATAATATTTTCATAATTCCATACGCTGGTTCCTGTTAGTTTTGCAACATTCCTCATTTACATGTACATATGCACATAGGGGCAGAAAAACAAAAGATTTGCATCTGTCATCATCTATCTGAAACAAAGGTAAGTAAATGTAACTTTCTTACAAAATCATATCAATAGGGGTAAAAAGTGAAGTACAAGTAAAACTTTGCCCAAAGTGAAAGTAAATAATGTGAAAGTAAATAATGCGGGGAAAATTTGAGGTACAAATTGGACAAGTGAATGCATGGAATTCTATGAAGCATGACCTCCACAGCTATTGCAATACATGTAATTAGCCAGATTATACACAATGTAGCATATATCGGTAAATTTTTCTCCTATTTAGCCTCATTTTTCTCTTTCTGCATTTCAAATGTCATACATGTACATGTACTAGGCCTAAAACTTGTACAGTTGACAATATTACTTACATGTACATATTTCTAGCGCTTGGCACATACATGTACATACCTGTATTGCTGAATGGCGTTGTAGTAAAATGGTTCAGGAGCAACGTTTTCATAAACGACACATAAAGTGATTTAAGACCCGACTGTGTTCCACAACCCAGCAGAAGTGCCTGCAGGGTCACCTTTGATAATTTGTATCCCACATCATTACACATGTTTACTAGTGCCAAATAATCCAAGGAATCAATGTGTCAGCGCATGAAATGTTCAAATTTGTATGTACTTCACATATGAAATTACAAGGACATACATGTACATGTTTGTACTAAATAATTTAATCATTTGCAAGGTATCATTAATTGCCTTTCATTTTTGTAAAATTACCCGTAAGGAATGTCACAAAATTTTACTAGAACTGTTTCTTTCATTTCAGATATTGCTGTATGGCTCTCACAGCAGGAGAAAGACAGCGAAAGAGACGTGAAAAGCTTTGTGCTACTGAGAAGTACAACTGAGAAGTATATGTATAGTGACTACCGTAAGCAAAAGAATGAGATGAGCTGAAAAAGTTGTGAGCTTAAGAAGGCAAAGGAACAAACCTAACAAAAGCTAAACAGAATAGGCTGAAAGATTTCAAGGTCAATCATCGTGGCCATTACAACTTCTTGTCATGAAGTGTGTTTGATCAACCATATGTGGTAATGTGGCATTCATTCAAAATGACATTTACCGGTACATGCATGTTGGTTTTTGGAGGGCACCACATGTCAATTCTGCAAAGTAATTCTTTTATCGTTATAATGTTATAAGTGTTAACTTGGCAAGTATTTGTCTTCTCAACTGCAAACCTGACAGCACTGTTGCACCGGTAACTTCATGTATACACAAACAATCAAGCTAATGTGTGCGTAATCTAGGGTAATCTTGAGGTAACGCAGGTCACGGTAACGTGAGTCACATTGATTATTTATGTATTTTTCCTAAACTGGTTGGGAAATGCATATCATTTTAGGTGATGTAGAAATGGTATTGAGTTGTGGGTTTCTGATAACTATTCATTGTTTTCCTCCAATTCATAGTTTGAGGAGAAATTTGATTTAAACCTAAGCCGATTTTACTCCTTTCCTTTTTTGTGTAATGCGAGTCATGCTATAATTACAATGCAATAAAAGCGTTGTTATCTGTTGAAATCATTTTTTGTTGGTGTTATTTTATACCAAGTGTCAGTATGTAGGTACTTATTCTGGAACACATACTTTACTCCATTGTGCTTTTGGTATGTCTGTATTTGTAGTTCGTGCGTAGTAACATTATGTGGACCATATGGGCATTTCCACGGTGACTCGGGTTACATTTTAGTTCGTTTTGAAACTTCTATAACCACACACATACTGAAATGTAGCAGTTAAAAATTCCACTAACTGTGTAGGTACTTACACAGGAAAAGGACGTTTTTAACTAACATTTGCATGGCATATTCATGAGCATTTATATCTTATTTACTTGTGATCACTGCAGTACAATATTTTTATATTAGGTTATTACAGTGTGTAGTGTTGAGTTGACAGGTAATGAGTAATATTTCATTTCTTTTCATTTTGGAAGAAATACCATTTTCAGGAGAGGACATTTTGAAAAAAAACATTTAACTAACAAACCACTGTCTCACTCAAAACAGTGAAAAAAAACGGTCAGCCAATTCCAATGAAATTTGGTATACACTTTCTTGGAACTTATCTCAATGTCCACGCAAAACCAGGCAGTTCTGTTTCTATTTGATTTTATTTCACATCAATTGCAGTTTCTAGAAAATTTGAATGAGACTCCAAATCTGGTGTTTTAGCACCTGTTTCAGTTCATATCTTGAGAACCATAATGCACAAGGCCTTGAAAATTTTTTAGAGATTGCAACGATGTAAACTCCCTGTGAGACAAAAAGCATGAAGTTCCAGCAAAGTTTTCCTATCAAAAAAGGCGTCAATATCCAATTTTTCATTTTGCAACTTTTCCCGTGAAACTGGCCAGCAGATGGTTGGTTGGAGTCGAGTTGACCGATACCTGAAGGTACTTCGAGAACTCTAAGTCACTACTCCGTCATCTGGTCATACTCCGTGTGACGTAGAGAAGACAAGGTTTACATGGTGTCGTAATGCTATGAGTTTTTTTAATCGAATTTTTGTGGTGAAATGTTTCACAAGTTTGAAAAAAGCTATTAAATCAAATTTTCCCCTGTCAGCAAATCAGATTAATCTACATGCATACCTCTTAAAAAGCGTGATAACCAAGTTTCAGAGCATGAGACAGAGTGATTTTGGAAAAGAAATGAGATTTTTGCTCACCAATTTCTTGCTTCCCCCGTTCATGCAGTTCTTGTTTGTCAGACTGCGCATGCGTCAAGCCCACCAATGACTGTGCTTGCTCTGCATCTTGGTTCGACCATTTTCGGAGGCAGGGGGATTTTTAAGTCCCGCAATCTGTCACCACTACACAGCATAGCACAATGTCGCGTGTCCCGCCCGATGGTTGTTTCCAGGTCACAGCAGCTACCAGGACGAAAATGGTCGAACCGAGATGCAGACAGGGGGAAATTTGATTTAATAGCTTTCTTACACGTTTGAACCATTTCACCACAAAAAATTTGAATGGAAAAACCCATAGTGTTACGATACCATGTAAACCTTGTCTTCTGTAAGTCACACGGAGTACTATGATGGAGTAGTGACTTAGAGTTCTTGAAGTAACCTGAAGGCATCAGGACATTTGGCCAAGTTTTAGTCAAATGCACTTGAGATTATCTGATGAGTTTCTGATTTTGTAAATCTTTGGAAGTTGGGCCGTCGTCATTGGTTGAATTTATGACAATCAAAAGGGTTAGGCTTTAGTTTGGGTAAAGAAATCCAGTCAGCTGATCAGTAGAGGCACACATCACAACTCGAGAACTGTTCCAGTATTCGGAGAAGTTTACTAGGGGACAAAATTTGGTCATGCTATTTAGCGTCAACACATACAACTAGGGTCAACAAATCGTCAACAACTCGAAAATATCCTCTAAAGATTTAAAAGCAGTTTTATTATAATTTAAAGACTCTAAGACCTGCCACTGTGTAAGAGAAACATCGAATTCGCTTCCAGATTCACGCAGAAAAATGAAACTTTTTCACGATGTATGGAGATCGACATCTTTCTTTTCTCTACCGTCCACACAAAAACAAGATGGTGGCTGGTCAGGCTGCACGACCAAGCCCGAATTTGTCGCTCAAATTTCCACACTCAAATATCATTTTCGATGTGATACATTGAATATGATGTGTAGGAGCCTTACTAATATCGTAAATATAAAATATTTGCATAAAAATGCTTGAATATTTTGTTGACGCTCGTTGACGCTAAATAGCATAACCCACAAAACCAGTCCCCTGAAAGAGAGAATGTCTCCTCAAAAGGGGACCTTTTTCCCCCAAGTGGGCTTAGGTCAAAAATGTCCACATGCACGTGTACACGTAGTATCAAATTTTTCTCCCACATTTTCCATCATGTACATGTACATGAAGCTCTGTGTTCAACCCAGTGTTGTTTCACACTTGTTTTGTGCAAACCAAACTTATGGCATGTACATGTAGCTCTACTAAGTGGAGTGTTAGTATTCCTCTTTTATGATCCCGTCCAAAATCCCGTTCTTGTGAGAGATGCAAAATTTATTTTAATTTAACTGGGACGAAAGAAATGCAAAATTGTGTCTGAACTGTGTCCTGGATTTATTGGACCAAAGTTGAAGCTGGACAAATTTCCCCCAAAAAATCCTAAAGAATTGCCAGGAAAAGAATTGATTGAGGCATCCAAAGATTAGCAGAGACATATAAAAAAAAATCAGTTGCCCATTTAAGCAAAAATCCAAAAAAAAATCCAAAATAGAGTTTTCAACAAACAGTCAATAAATCTTCCATCCAAAAAAACCTTTAACAAAAAATGAATCTGAAAGAAATCATTGATAAAACCCACACAGGGGATTACTCTAAAAGTAAAAACTGAGTCCACAGCAGACAAAGCTTAGAAGGCAGAATCTTGCTGGTACAATGAAGGCACAGAGCTGTTAAAATTGTGGAGTTGCCTGAATGCTGCTGGTCTGCTAAAATTATCAGAGGGTCAAGAGGACTGCTCAACCCTTGTCCCTTGTGGTGGCACTCACGAGGGGGTCTGGAATGTACATGTGCTAAACTTCAAGGGGGAAACTCTCTAAAACAATGCAGGTGCTTAGGGTATAGCAAACTAAACTAAGGAACTGGGGCACCACTTTTAACAGAGTAAAAAAAAACTACAAGTTATGTTGCCCCCCCTACACATGCGCACAAAGTGGAAGCGATGAACATGATGCATGCGTCCACTCAAGTGCATTTTCATCGGTGAATTTTTGCCATGTCTAATGTTGCAGTGTAATGGACACAATGAAGACCTGTGTGTGAATCTGGTATAGACTTGGATTTGCATTTTTTTTTCCTCTGACAGGAATGGTTGACATCGTTAGCTCCTGTGGATATCGTTCCATCTTTACTCGGAGCTTTGGACCTTCCGACACATATGAGACTGAAGCAACACTTGTCTACTCCATGATTGGAACAGAATACTCCTCGGGATCTACCTGTCAGTACAAATTCTCTTCTGTCTCTAGCAGCTCTCTGGTAGTCAATGCAGAACATGTACCGATAGGGTTCAGCAACGGTCGCTCTTGTCTAACGTTCTACCAAAGCTCATCTTCTTCCTTCCGCCCCACAACTCTACTGGCAAAGTACTGTAATGAAACATTGTTTCAGGTGAAGACACAAAGCCCTTACCTGTTGATAGTTTTGTCTGTAAGAAGCGCCTCTCAGGCAGTGGGATTCCGTCTGGTTGTGACTCCAGTGTTCGAATCTGGTAAGAATCAGAACTTTAATCAACCTTTCGGGGTAAATGTACTTGATTCGTCCACATTGTCATTTGTCCACCTACATGATAACAACAGATATTAGAGGTGACTGGAATGTGTAAAGTAAAGCAGCACATTTTGACCTTAACGATCCCACACAGCCAAACTAGCCAAACTGTATTGTTGGTATCTGTTAGGATGAGCACTGCTCTGGCATACTGGCTGTGTTTTTGTATAGGATTAGGCATGCCACAAATACTGGTACTGTACATATAATTAGAGTCCATTTATTTATGTGCACAGTTTACTCTGTGGTGTTGAGTTTTGTAAGGATGCAGGAAAGTTGCCAGTAAATCACCCTACAGGTGGGATACTGTTAAGATTCATGTACATGTATTACCCCGTACCTGTGCAAGCATTGTGAATATTAGAGTTTGCTGTGATCTGCGCAGTTGTTTGATCTTGCTGTATGATCTGTCAACAATTTCCCCTTCAGACAATTGCATTCTCTCGCTAATTCACAGTTTTGAAAGATCTTCCAAAAAAAGGGAAGTTGAGTTGGAGATTGCTAATTGACAAATAGACGACTAATAGTGCAATATATATGAATTATCCCGCATGTAATGACTACATGTATGGTGCATACATCGACATGTAGAAATTGCTAAGAAATACAGTTTGATCCCTGTTCTTTTTTTAGCTTGGGGTCAGACCCAAATGCGACAAGCAGATCTTGATTCAGATCTTGAAAACGTAGGCCTTTCTTTCGCCGTCATATTCTAAAGCCATGTACAACATTTATTTGGGGGATGGTTATGATTCCAGTTTCTGTCCAGGTTTGACTGCAGCATTATGAAAACGTACATTTAGCACCCAATGGCTGTACTGAATAAAACTTGCCAGCTAACCACACAAACAGATTCAGTAGCAAATATTAATTTAATAAAGAAAAGGTTTTAACAACCCACTAACATGTACATGTACAATGTACTCTCATGCCTTACATAACCTGAACCAAACCAACAACCACATGCCATGTACATGTGGTCCAGTCAGCTGACTGGTGGGTTGTTCAATCTCCCGTCATTGGTTAACATTGCATGTGGTACATACTTCCTCCATGATTGTACACGTATTTCCACTGTCATACCACATACACGTAGCACTGGATGACAAGCATGTGCAATAGACCTCTATCACGGGGCAGCCATCTTACTTTTCTACCATTCAAAGCAGTGTACTGGTAATCAAAATGAGGCAGGATCCGAATCTGTTGTCTAGAGCTAGGTCTAGGTCTTCGCCCCATTGGAAATGCGTGGAGATGTGCAGACGATTTGCCCCAAACATGCATGAAGTGCACCCCCAAGCGGCAAAAGAAATTTTCTGTCTGAGTATTAGTTTTCTGAATCACTGAAGTTTTCCTAATTTTGTCTAGCTTTTATGCCTAGAAAACAATTACATTCAAAGCTTATACATGTATCATCTTTTAGATCTATACTTATCCGATTTTCTCATATTTTCGTACTCTTTTTAGTCTAAGAATGTTAGTGATGTATCAGTATTTCCATCCATTCTTCTCTTCCTAGTTGACTGATTATTTGGATTTGCCAAGGGATTTGAATACTTAATGAGCCCCATAGACCTGTGCACAATTTCAGTATTAGGATGTGTTTATCCCTGCTCTTCTTTCTGTACTGCATGTATGTACACGTACCGGTAGTTTATGTAGAGGAATTTTTTGGTTTCCTACATGTACATGTATGTTCTTTACTTCTCTTGGTTTTTTTACAGATCGAGGTCTGAGTGTAAACTCATAAGGTCTCTTTTACACACTGTGTTGGGTTTTGGTTTTTAATCTTTTGGTTTAAGTCTTTTAAGTCCTTTATTAATTGGTTTTGGCATTTTTTCCAGTACTTTTTCATTAATAAATTATTTTTTGTCCCTTTTTTTGAAGTCAAATATTGGTGTCTGAGTCCTTATAAATTCAGTTTCCTGCGACTTTTCCTTCAAAGATCCTTGGTTTGGTTTGAGATTTTGCTGTTTTGCGAGTTCCCCATTGTGTGTCATTTTTCCCCGTTACATAGACAGCAAATAATAAATGTTTTGTGTTCATGCAGTGGAAAGAATGATTTCATTTAGTGACAAATTTGATGGTCCACTTTACGGGGTGAACTCAATACATGTAGGTCACCTAATGAAAATATTCTTACCCTTGTACTCACAAACTTTCAATACCATTTCAGCACATTGGTGAATACCTCAAAGGGAAGTTTGATGTGTACGCATCAAAAAATAACACCAAAATTCTGTGTACAAGCATGTCATCATGGCACTCGAAATACGCTGTACCAGTACCTACCGGTGCACTGACTCATCTCTTTTTTTTTCCATTTCAGATGGGGATCTCAGCAATCCCTTCCGCTGTCGCGATGGATCCGTAATCAGCTCTAACTTGGTGAATGATGGCCACCCAAATTGTCCGGACAAAAGCGATGAAAACGGTACATACAAATTCGTATCGTGGTCGTCTGTATATATGTGTACATTTAGAAGCTTATCGTTTAGGGTATTCTCTTACATTTGGACCTGATGCGTGTTCAAATGTGTCATTAGAGCCGCAGTGCACTGTTCAGTGTTGCAGCCATTGTCAAATACATGTATTACATGTACCTGTAAGTAGAGTCAAGTCTTGAACATCTTCACATGAAGCATCTTTTGGGTTTTTGTTTTTAAAGAGGTGGGTCTGAGTTTTTTGGTCCTAATATATATATACTGTATATACTTGTTTTATTTTTAGTTTCTGTTTGATTGCCATACTTTTTCGAATTATTCAACAACCATTTGTGTCTCCTCTGTTCAAAGACACGGACAGGACAGAAACATTGTTGGACAAGACAAGTGAAGATGTTTGAACTGGATGATGTAGTTTGCTTTTAAAGTTTTAACACAGTTATCACAAGTGCAGTGTGCATCCCCAGGGCATATTTGAACAGTCACTTGGAGTGTGTTGAAGGCACTTCCTGAAGGTCTCATCTTAGGAAGTATAGACATACAGTGTATATTTAACACGTGAGATCTTTGGAGACTGACCAAGGTCTCTGAGATGCTACAGCCATGAAATAGACTATTTATAAAATATCACGGGACCTACAATCCTCCATCAAATGACAAGGTTCTGCTTGTTATATAAAACTCACTGACCTACATGTATGTGTGTGTGGCAAGAAGTCAGCCCTGACCTTAAGACATTCAATTTGCATTCTGCCATTGACAGATAATTCTTCTTTTCCCTGCGCCGGCCGCCTGATACCTTGTGGTAGTGAGTCAGGACCGTGCATTGCCAAAGAGTGGAAGTGCGATCGAATTCCTGACTGCCCAAATGCAGAAGACGAGGAGGGTTGTGGTAGGTCCATGTTTAGGTGTAAGTGGCTGCCAGTGCGATTGATACAAAGATCTTGGTGCATTTATTTCTTTTCTAACAAGCTTTGAATTAAACAATGGATAGATTTTTCATGTAGACTTGTGAGTCTGTCTATGAGTTGAGTATCACTTGCGTTCACATATTTACATATTTCAAGGGAAAATACACCGTTGAGATTGACTAGTTTGCAGCCCTGCAGGATTGTGCGTGACATGCATTGCTTATTTTCGTCCAATCCCATCATTGAACATCTCAAAAGATTTATTACACACGGCTGCATACTGTAGGGGTGTGTTACTCTGCGTGAGATTGTGTCTGTTATCAAGTCCTAGTTTTAGACAGCAGTTTGCACTGCATGCAAACTCGGTCTTTGTGCATAGTTTGCGCACTAAATTAGTGTTGATAGAATGCACATTCACATGTAGGTTTACACTTTGTCTGCCTGATACTGTTCCAAGTTTCTTACATTTTAATTTTATTTTAGTATACAAGTGTCCTGGTAGTTCCGACAATGGTGAGTCATTTTCTGAGTACGAATGCAGAGATAAAAGCTCCTGTTTCAGTGAGTATGATCGGTGTCGCGGACACAGCTATGGGATATGCGATGATGAATCTGAGAATATGGACTGCGGTAAGTTTGTTTCTCTGAACGATGCTACTGTCCCAACTACCGTCTGGCACTGTTGTTGGCTTCATGCAAGATGTTAAATACCCCAGCAAAAATCCCAATTTTCCTTAATCCGGGGGGGAGACCCTGTTCAGGAAGCCTTGCCAAGACTAAGCATGACAATTGTTCTGTGTCAGGGGTCAGGGGTACATCGCACAGCAATGCCAAATGCATGCAACAGAGGTCTCATGTAAACTGTTTGACTACAGTTTTCCACGAGTGAAACGATTTTCCTGTGTGCAGTATTTGCACACTACGCTGTATTTTGCAATGCCCTCTGTCCTTGGAGGTCTGCTGTAAGGCTGAGGTAGAATTGAATAACTAGAGGTACATATAAAGTCCATCATTTGCAGATATCCAAAAGGTGACCGACAAAATTATTGTTGAAAAGCTTACTTACACTGTACATGAAGATTAATGACTGTGGAACTACATGAACTCACTGAAACAATTTTTCTGGCAAGCTGTTATTTGAAGAAAACAGTAAAGGAGGCTATTTCTAACAAGTTGTGTTTAAAGGTGCGTACGCGTATTTGGAAATTTGCCATTAGAAGCATGCGCAAGCATTGCTGCTACAATATTAATTGCAATATTCCTCAGTTCGGTGAGTGACATTGCAGAACTGCGCCTGACCGAAAGTGAGAACGTATCTCCAGAAGCCGAATTCAGGCTCCATACAAAACATGACTTAGCAACTTTTAATTGGAACTGGCAATCCTAAAATATTGTTTTTCTCAGAATATTCAGCATGCACTGAGCAGAACCTTCATTAGGTTAGTTTATAGGTTGCCTGCTTCAGATTTTGAATGACGTCATTGCCCCAGTCTCAGAGGAACATAATGCACAAATGATGAATGATAAACTGTACCTTTAAGCAAAGGCTTTTATGCTGTCAGTAGTTGGCCACAGTGAACATGGACCACAGCGCCCATTTGTCAATATTTTCTGACATCCAAGATAGCAGGAAGGAGCTGTTGGGAAGTATATGTACAAATTATACATATTTACGCCATCAGTTCAAACACGGAAGGGAAGCCAGTGACCACCTCGGTGCATGGTCCATGTTCAATTTACAAGAGGTAAAACAGCATGGGAACCAGTGCAGTGCCAGAGTTCCAAATATGGGATTTCATTGCGTGGAGACATGGTATTCTTGTCCTCGGCTGAGAGTTCCATGGTATGTAGCAGTCTTACCATTCTCATTTCCCTTCCTTACATCACAGATAATTGTGATGATTATTCCTACTCCTTGTACGACGAAAGCCGTTTCAGCGGAAATGGACCCAAATTTGAGCCCTACTGTCCAATGACCCGAACATGTATGACAGTCGACAAGTTTTGTAATGGCATCCGTGACTGTCCAAACGGAGCAGATGAGGACTATAACCTGTGCCGTATGTATAATAATAACCCAGTTTGTTTTTTTCAATGTTTCAGCAGATCTGTCACCATGGAAACTGGAGCATATTCAGTGCGTGTGAGTTGGTATACAAGTGCACTGATACAGCCGATGCAGTGCACATGTATTGCTAATTCCAATTCTACCAATGATGTGCTTCATTTTCTATGTGCACTGCTTAAAAAAAAAACAATCTGATTCATTGCAGCATGGTTTTTGTGGGCGGGAAATTTTGAACCTACCAACTGCCCTTTGTGCACAAAGTTATCGTTGGAATATGCAACAATAACTATGCAATATATAAAGCAATATGTGTGAATTTCCTGCATTAAATTAATGTACATTGCCTTTAGGGTAGTGTGTAGAGTTTCAATGCCTTGCCTTCATACCTATTTAAACTCATGGAATCTTTTTGGAGGGGCCCAAATATTTTTTATTTTCGTAGTCAAAATGTAGTAGTCATAAACCAAATGCCACAAATACTGAGTATTTATGTATCTCTTACTGTATCCTCATATTTTTCAATACTTGGGGGCTCGCTCACAAAGCATTATTTGCCACCAGAGCAGCTGCACTCAGCAGCCCAGTTAAAGTTCAACATACAGAGGCAGCCTCGCAGACTTCTTGAATTTTGTGTGTGTGTGCACAAAACAAATGGGGATTATGGTTAGGCATCAGCCATCAGTGAGTCAGACATGCATGACATTGTTAACATCTGAGCAGTGCCTTTGTATATAGATAGCCAGCTTGTGTTTACCCATCGTCTGGTGGGTACCTATTCCTGTATGATATCATTGCATTTGTGGGGAGGCGGTCTAAATCACCAGTAGGAATTAAGTGTCGTTAGGTCCCAGATCACAATTAACTCTTGGTCAGGTACTGGCTGAGTACCAGACACTGATTGCTGAAAACCCCCTTGTTAGCATTGTAGGAGAGCAGATGATTTCACTTGTAGCTTGAAGATAGATAGACCATTTGTCGTTTGTGCTTGTTTTTTAGGGTTTGAAGTGGTGACTTTGCTTCGTATTTCAAGACTGGTGCCTAATTAATCTGATAGAGATTCAGCTCTGTCCGTACTGTGTACATATACATGTGCATGTATTTGAAGAGAATGCACAAGAACTCGTGGGTCAAGTACTTCAATTCCAAAAATTGGCATGTCATGGGCCATGTCATTTCATTGTGCATCCAGCTATACGTGTGTGTATATTAGAATGCATGTATGTGCACATCCATCCCTCATTGGCCTACAGGGTTATAAGTTTTGACACTTACATTGTAAAACCCTTTTGAAAACGGCAAGTACATGACAGATTTAAAGCATTCCACCCTCTCAGATTCACTGAAATATTGCTGACACATCTGTGGAACTTAGCATCTTTTGTCAGTCTCACATCTTAAAGGGGAAAGATTATGCAAAAAAAAGGTCAGTTATTTTTCAGACAGCTGAAAATATAAAGGGTCTGTTCCACCTTTTTATTTCAAAAATTGTCTTTCTTGCATGGTAGTGTCATTTTATCGTTTGGTGATAAGGTTCTTTATGTCAACTTTCAAATAACTACAGAATTCCACCTACTCGTGTAAGACAACACAGGAAGCTTGACAGGCACATCTGGCTTTTAGAATCAGATCATTAGCCCAAGTACCGAGGAATGAATAGTTTCATGTCATTTGTTTTTCTTGATTCATCTCCTGCAGATCCGTCAATCTATTGGTACTGGACCCCCGGCCAGCTGGCCGGTGTTTTCATCGGTTTCATCATCTTTGTCTTTATTGTTGTGGTCATAGTCATCGTTGTGCAGAAGAAGTGTCGTAAAGAAGTTGTGTAGACCAGCTATGCCAGGCAGCTGCCATCTTAGTCTAATTCCCAGAGGTCTAGACAGTGATCATTTGTGGAGTTTTGCACCGCACACCAACCGTGACACTTCTAGAATAATGGCCAGATTTATATTTTTCAAGTACTTGCTATAATGTATATGCATGAACAGTTTTTCAACGAAGTGCTAAGTTTATATCACCATAAGGAGGGCCTTCCATCTTTCTTGACAGAGTTTGGAATAAGGAGCACTGTGACAATTTTGTTTGCATGTATCACAGTTTTATTTGGTTTGTGCAAAATTGTAGGACAGTGTCACATGGTCATTTGGTGACTGGGGGTAATTCCCATCACTCTCAGATAACTGAAACTGATTTGAAATGTGAGTCACTTGGGAAGATGCAACTTCAAGTTTCTTCCGAGCCAGTGGAAACTTTTCAAATGTACACAAGATTAACCTGGAAAAGTGTCCTTTGGGGGAAAAATCCTGAAATATGATTGGCCTGAAATAAATTGAAAGACACATTGTTTGGATAAAACTGAAATAATCGACTGGAAAGTGCCTGACCTGCAAACCCTCTGGAACAGAATGTCGGTTGTGTTAGGAAAAAATCAGATAATGGCATTTTTTAATGATATTAATGCTCAACAGGGTTAGGTTTATGCAACATGCATTGATTGCCAGCATGATTCTCAATTATTTCAAACTTATCAAAGGGGAAGTTGGAGTCGTTCTGTATACCTGGTTAATCGTTTTCTGCTCGTGCATGGATAGACCAGTT